CAGTCTCGTTTTGCGTTAAGGGATCTCAAAAGGAAACACCTGGCATCTCTGGTTTTGAAGGTGCCCTTTTTGAGGTTGGTTTACAAGGAAATCGCCAGGAAAACCACCTATTTTGAGATACACCCGCACGCAACCATTTGGCTGGCTCTACCCCCGGATGAAAATAACGATCAAGGAACTCCCGTTACCGAGGGAAGGATTCAGGATTGCATTGAAAGAGCCCAATTTTGGCCAAACTCTTGTTTGGACATGTGCCCGTGAACCGCGTGCCCGTATGCCTCTGTGCCGTGCCGCTGGAACGCGCGCGCATGCCCACAACCCCCAAAAAATATGTGGTTGAAAATCAGCCCGATGCATGTGTTCGAAAATGAGCTGCACCTGTTCGAAATTGATCCCCCTCCCCGGCTGTTTTTCTTTCAAAGCCCTTGCTTTCTTTCCTAGCTCCGGCACCTCCCTTTCGCATCTTTGTTTGTGGTTACCTTGAGCTTCTTTCAAGTTTGCCCATGGAGCTCGCTCGTCTAAGCCTTGTGCCTTGGTGATTCAGGCTTTGCAGGACGCACGGGGTTTGGGGCTGTTTACCAGGTGTGAGACTTGACACTGGGCGAATGCTGGCTTGGGTCAGTGCTCCAAACAACTTAGACTGCGAAGCTGAGTCTTGCCAATGTCCAACTCCACAACCACCCCAAAAGGCTAAGCTCCACCGACGCACAATGGTCACACATGAGTCTGGAATATCCCTGCGTCGTCTTTCAGTATTTTTAAGCCGAAGGCGTGCACTGACTTCTTGGGGCGGGTGAACGCACACGGGGGTCCCCTTTCTACCCTTCGGCACCGCGCCCCCTTAACCGCACCAAACCTAAGCCAACCTTGAGCCCGCCTCAAACACAAGCTAAACCAAAGCCCACCGGCGATCGGGGGGGGGGGGCGGGGCGGGGGGCGGGGGGTGAGAGGCCCACTGTTCCAGGTGCCTATCCCAGAAGGGAACTGGTGCCCTGCGGTAGTAGAGGTCGTTGATTTGGTCCCTGGATCTATTCCGGAGAGAATCCAATATGCCACTGTGGATGATTGGAGGATGGATTGTCCCTGGTGGATTGTCTTGTGGATAATCCTGTAAGCGGCCTGCTAAGGTTCTTTTGCTTCACGCGATCATGAATGATGCAATGTTACACAAAAGGGGCCTTGAGCCAAATGTTGCAGGAGATCAAGTGTTCAGTAAACCAAACACAGGGGGGGGGGGGGGGGGGGGGGGGGGGCGGGGCGGGGCGGCAACGGAAGGTTGGTTGGTTGGTCGCCGAGGTTGGCCCAGTCCAGTTGCTTGAGGTTGGGTTCTGGCCGTTCATGTAACGTCAGGGTGGGGCTTGTAAAAATGATTGAGTATGCTTTGAGGTTGGTTGCGGTGCTGGATGGATGTTGGGCCGTGGGCATCTTGTGTGCGTAACTGGCTGAGTGCGAGGCTGGTCCGCAACATTCTTAGCCTTGACTCGCAAGACATCCTCGCACCGAAATGACAGGCACAATGCATCTGCAAAGCCCGCCAAGCAATCAGGCCAATCAAGCAATATGCAAGGCATATGTTTCAAAGCAAAGCAGATCTTGAATTATCCAAACAAAACTCTGTTTGGAAGAAAAGAGGACTTCCCCAACTTTGACCGGTCGCATAGGCAGCTCTGGGGGTGCTCAAAGGCTTCCAAAGCTCACCTATTCTGTCTAGCCGTGCCAACTTACCTTCAGCCTCTCAAACTCTTCTGGGCTGTCCTCGCTGCAAGAAAATTCGTGCAGCCAGAGGTTGAGTGCCGTTTCCTGACGTGAGGGTGGCAAGCCGGCGTCTCAATCGTCAAACAAACCAAACGTTTCTCTGACGTTCCAATGTCTAATGCGTCAAATCTCGGGAAAGCCAGTTCTCCCTTTTGTTTCTGGCAAACGCGATTCGACCCTCGGCTGCTGAGATTTTGATGCACCAAGGGAGCCCTCCGGGGAAAAAAACAAACACAAAAAGACAAGAAGAATATGATGTTCACCCCTCCATGGCCGATCGAGCCCTTCACGGCCGAAAGACCCGCGATCTTTCGGAAGGGCGATAAAGAAAATTCCGCGATCGAGAAATCCGGAGGAGCCTTCATCATGCACTGGATGAGCTGCGACATCTCCACGGGCTGCGCCGTGAGCCCGCTGGAGGCGAAGCGCATGGGCGCCCGCTGCTTGAAGTCCTTCAGCACCTCTCCGATGGCTTCAGGCGCTTTCGCCGTGTCACACGCGTGAATGAAACAAATAGAAACACAGAACAGCGAAATCAAAGGGCAACCCAAACCCGAGTCTTGAACTCTTGCTCTTTTCCGCGGGTGACGCAGAAGACTTGCTTATGGCCTTTCTGTGCTGACGCAGGCCTTGCCAGGATTCTTCTTGGCTATTGTCGGCACTTTTTGCAGTGCGGGAACTGCCGACATGGGATTGGACAAATTATTGTTGTGAATCCAAGCCTTAAGGTCACCAGCATGTTCTTTTCCAGTGTAGCAAATCAGGGCAAGACTTGAGACGCTAGATGTAATTAAGCCCAATAGCCAGCTACGTGCTACTACACTTCCCTTTGCCCCGTGAGTACCTCTCTTCGGAATAATAAACACCGTTTTATTAATACGTTCCCCTCCAAAAGTGATAAACCTCCTCTAAAATATTGATCTGGGGGAAACATTAGAATCTTGCACTGGTGCCCCACATCGCGATCGCACTGCGATCAAATCCTCTCGCTTCAATAGCTTGCTGGCATTGTGCGCTGCATGATACCTATGCAACCAAAACGACTCAAGCCAGGACATAGGTTAATAGCAATCAACAAAGCAACTGTACCTCCGTGATACAAACACTTGGAGTTCAAGCCTTCACTTCCGGTGTCAGGATACTTTCCTCGTGCTGCATGCTGCCTTATCTTGGCAGTTGAGCGGTTCCGTTTTGACAATTGCAGGTTTTCACTAAGGCAACCGACTCGCAGCTTTGGTTTGCAAAACACTATTTCGAAGTACAAAAGTAGTGCGGGCAGTGCACCTTTACAGCCACGGCTCAAACTTATAGCTGTGAAATGTCGAAACCAGCAGATTGCGAAAGCACAAACACAATGAGCAACTAAACGCAACACCGAGCTTGTCACCGTCAACCACGCGTGTGTGTGTGTGTGTGTGTGTGTGTGTGTGTGTCTGTGTGATCGAATATGTCGTGTCAACCTCCATTCCAAAAACTAGACATAGTGGGCAAGTTAATTTGAAGTAGCTCACATGGATACATACGTGAAAATGTAGGTGTGAGCAAATATATATAATATAAAAATATATGTGCATACATGCAAATACATACATACATGTGCTGTTACAAGTTTACGCGAGATCATTGATCACGGTGACCATTGTTGCATAGAATGGACGCGCGCACAAACAAACAAACAAACAAACAAACAAACAAGCAAGCAAACAAACAAGCAAGCACGCAAGCAAGCAAGCAACCAACCAAACAAACAAACAAGCAAGCAAGCAAGCAAGCAAACAAGCAAACAAACACACAGACACAGACACAGACACAGACACAGACACAAACACACAAACACAAACACAAACACAAACACAAACACAAACACAAACACAAACACAAACACAAACACAAACACAAACACAAACAACAAACACAACAAACACAAACACACACACACACACACACACACACACACACACACACACACACACACACACACACACACACACACACACACACACACACACACACACACGCGCGGCGCCCGCGAAACTAGCGGGATCGAACCCCGTCCAAATGCGCTTTACGAAGGCTGCAAAGCTGTCCAGTCACGTCTACTCAGCCAAGGTCCCCGACCTTGCCGGAGAATTTGAAGCCATCCGCATTAATCAGCAGCATGCTGGCATGTAGCTCAGCTGCGCGCACCGTTGCCTGAACGCAGGTTGCGGCAATAGCACAACAAGCTTTGCTCTGCAGCATCCCTGTTCCAGTCTGCAGGCCCGTGCGACTTTGAATCTACTCGCCTATGAAAAGCATCGCACGTCCGACATTGCTTGTTTAGATATTACGCTTCGTGGCCCTTCCTGAATGCAGTACTGGCGTCTCGCCTTCATGAAAAACGGCTGGAAGAAAGCGCCAGTTGAGAGCCTCAGTGAGGTGCCGCCAGGCTGGAGGCTTGGCATGTCCGGTTCCATCTGCACGCAGAATGTGCCCAGCTTCTGCCCAAATGCATCCGAGCTTCAGAAAAATGACCACACGCGTTGTCGGCTGAAGTGTCTCGTGCTCCAGAAGAAAATGAGGAGCTAAATGTGGAGCCGTTGATAGAAACGGCTGGACTGTCCTGAGCGTGTGCAATGTGGCAACGCCTTCGTCAGCGATGTTCATCCCTCTCCAAGTACAGTGTTGAGCCCCTACGGCCCATTATGACGGAAAGTCACAGAACAACTAGTCTCACCCAAAAGAATGGCGCTGCTCAGGTGGCAGTGATTCGGAAGATTGGGCAGCTTTGCTCGCGATACTCTGACCAGTGGGTCAGCGAAGCCGCAGAGCCAGACCAAACCCGAAGCGTAAAAAGTGGCGCGCGCGAATGCCGTCGAACGTCTTGCATAGGACCATAGCAGTAGCACAGGCTTCAATGTTGGTGTGGTCCGCAACCACGCAGACCTAGGTTGGACATCAATGAGGCTGGAGTGTCCGGCCACGAATTTGATGGGCCCAAAGCTCCTGGTCTTTGAAGCCCCGATGAAAGCGCAGCCAACTCTCCCAAAGAGCAAGCCTGCATTAAGCAAACGCCAGAAGACCCCAACAAGTTGCTGGAATGCAAAAAACCCGGTGCGTTTGCTGCGATCACATGAAAACCGACCCTCGCAAAGTCACTAGCTTGCACCTTTCCTTCTGTGAATGCTCCAGAAAACCAATCATTCCTTACCGTTGCTGTTACCCGGTCCAAGGGGGGGAATCTGGAAACGTGGAGTTCGCCTTAGCCCAAATCCAACGCAACCACCCAGCCAACTAAGGCTAACATGTCAACTGAACATCCACTTGTGTCGATTGGCAGTTGTGGGGGGCCTCCACAACCTGCACGAATGAAAAGAGAATGCAAAAACCACGTACCGCTCCTGCGTTCACACTAAACGTGCTTTGCTCAAATTCTCCAGCTTTCGCATTTGTAGCTTAAATTCCTTGGGGGGGTGGAAGATTCGAAGGCGCAAACAAACTACAGCTTGGAGCGCGCTCCCTTGCTTTTCTGCCTACCATTCCCCAACTCTCGTCATGTCCTCCTTTTTCTACTTTTCACACACCTTTCGCGCGCAAATTTATCGCGGCCAACGAAGCTCAATTAGTTTCAGTACGTAAGAGCTCGTTAAGCTTCCTTTGGCCTCTCCACCGGTGCTCCGAAAAAGGAAAAGCTCCCAAGCTGAAAAGACGGCTAGATGGTCAAACAGAAAGTTTGCAAGGTTCGAAGACACTCCTGGAATCATGTCTGTGCAGCTGATGCGCGCTCATCTCTGTCTAAAGCTTCCCAATGCTGCAACAGTGTGTTGCTTTTATCGAGCAAATGGAAAGCCATTGGCAAAACAAATACTGCTAACCAGTACATGGAAATACCTTGAAAAAAATAGTATTTCTACTGGCTACCCATGGTTTTAAGGATTTCTACTGGCCGTACTGCTCTCCATGTCGAAAAAGGAGACCAAGCACAAGCTTTCCCAGGGAGACATCGAAACTTAAGCATGCTGAGACATGGCTGTGGGTCGAAAATGGGGTAACCCCAAAATGGCTTTGGAAACATGGACCAAAACCCTGATGTCCCCTGGTGGTGAAATTTGACCCATACCTAAAAGAAGCTGCAACGCTCCTCTAAGCCTCTCAACCCGGCCTCCATCTTGCCGCCGGTGCTTTGCAGCTCCCGCTGGATGACCTGCGTCGGGGGGGCAAAATGAAGGCGCAGGGGCGGTGACCCCAGGGCGATCCTCAACGCCTCTGCACACTGTCAACAGAATCAACAAAAGCCGGCACAAGAGGAAGGAGGAAGCTGTGTTGCAACAGACTTGGACTGCAAGCAAATAGTCCATGTCAACAGTAATTCTGCTTCCGAATGGACATAGCAGGAGAGGCACCACCAACAGCACTGAGTAGTCCTTCTGGTTTTTGAGCAAGTCATTGAGGGCGTTGCTTGGTGGCGCCGAAAGTTTACCAAACCAGCACGGCAAGCTACACGCCTTCCCCACAAATGAGCCCGAGATGAGCACCCCTGCCAAAGTGTCCATGACCTCACAGGCGCGATGCATGAGATGAGAGGCCAACAAATTCACCAGCAACCTCCCACTGGCTGCTTGAGGGCCACACTTTGCCATCCAAAGCTCGAGGTAGACGCAGAAAGGGCAGCGATCGCATCCAATGCAGCGAGTCCTTCAATTGGCATCTGTCAGGATATCTCATCCAGCAGTTGGCCTTATTGAAGAAACTCTAACTTAACTCTACCTTGAGACGCAATGCAAAACACCTGCAAAAAAGAGCTGATCTGCCCCAAAGTGTGTGTTTGTGTGCTGTATGTTGTATGCTGTATGTTGCGTGTTGTGTTGTGCGTTGCCTACTGTTTGTTGTCTGTTGTGTGTTGGCTGTTGTTTGTTGTGTCTTGTGTGGTGTGTGAAGTGTGTGTGTGTGTGGCGTGTGTGTGTGTGTGTGGTGTGTGGTGCGCGCTGTGTGTTGCATGGTGCGTGGTGCGCAGTGTGCGCAGTGTGTGCACTGTGTGCACTGTGTGCACTGTGTGCAAAGTGTGAGTGTGTGTAGTGTGTGTGTGTGTGTAGTGTGTGTGTGTGTAGTGTGGTGTGTGCGTGTGTAGAGTGTGTAGTGTGTGTAGTGTGTGTAGTGTGTGTAGTGTGTGTAGTGTGTGTGTAGTGTGTGTGTAGTGTGTCGTGTGTGTGTAGTGTGTGTAGTGTGTGTAGTGTGTGTAGTGTGTGTAGTGTGTGTAGTGTGTGTAGTGTGTGTAGTGTGTGTAGTGTGTGTAGTGTGTGTAGTGTGTGTAGTGTGTGTAGTGTGTGTAGTGTGTGTAGTGTGTGTAGTGTGTGTAGTGTGTGTAGTGTGTGTAGTGTGTGTGTAGTGTGTGTGTAGTGTGTGTAGTGTGTGTAGTGTGTGTAGTGTGTGTGTGTGTAGTGTGTGTAGTGTGTGTGTGTGTAGTGTGTGTAGTGTGTGTAGTGTGTGTAGTGTGTGTAGTGTGTGTAGTGTGTGTGTGTAGTGTGTGTAGTGTGTGTGTGTGCAGTGTGTGTAGTGTGTGTAGTGTGTGTGGTAGTGTGTGTGTGTATGTGTGTGTGTGTGCACGGTGTGTGCGTGTGTAGTGTGTGTGTGTAGTGTGTGTGTGTGTAGTGTGTGTGTGTGTGTAGTGTGTGTAGTGTGTGTAGTGTGTGTAGTGTGTGTAGTGTGTGTAGTGTGTGTAGTGTGTGTAGTGTGTGTAGTGTGTGTAGTGTGTGTAGTGTGTGTAGTGTGTGTAGTGTGTGTAGTGTGTGTAGTGTGTGTAGTGTGTGTGTGTGTGTAGTGTGTGTAGTGTGTGTAGTGTGTGTGTGTAGTGTGTGTAGTGTGTGTAGTGTGTGTAGTGTGTGTAGTGTGTGTAGTGTGTGTAGTGTGTGTAGTGTGTGTAGTGTGTGTAGTGTGTGTAGTGTGTGTAGTGTGTGTGTGTGTAGTGTGTGTAGTGTGTGTACTGTGTGTAGTGTGTGTAGTGTGTGTAGTGCGTGCAGTGTGTGTAGTGCGTGTAGTGTGTGTGGTGTGTGTGTGTGTGTAGAGTGTGTAGTGTGTATAGTGTGTGTAGTGTGTAGTGTGTGTAGTGTGTAGTGTGTCTGTGTAGTCTGGGTAGCGTGTGTCGTGTGTGTGTAATGTGTTTCTTGTGATTTGTGTGTGTTGTGTGCTGTGTGAAGTGTGTGTGTGTGTAGAGTGTGCGTGGTGTGTGTAGTGTGTAGTGTGTGTAGAGTGTGTGTAGTGTGTGTAGTGTGTGTAGTGTGTGAAGTGTGTGTAGTGTGTAGTGTGTGTAGTGTGTGTAGTGTGTGTAGTGTGTGTAGTGTGTGTCGTGTGTGTAGTGTGTGTAGTGTGTGTAGTGTGTGTAGTGTGTGTAGTGTGTGTAGTGTGTGTAGTGTGTGTAGTGTGTGTAGTGTGTGTAGTGTGTGTAGTGTGTGTAGTGTGTGTAGTGTGTGTAGTGTGTGTAGTGTGTGTAGTGTGTGTAGTGTGTGTAGTGTGTGTAGTGTGTGTAGTGTGTGTAGTGTGTGTAGTGTGTAGTGTGTCTGTGTAGTCTGGGTAGCGTGTGTCGTGTGTGTGTGTTATGTGCTTTTTTTGTGATTTGTGTGTGTGTGTTGTGTGCTGTGTGAAGTGTGTGTGTTGTGTGCTGTGTGAAGTGTGTGTGTGTGTGGTGTTGTGTGGTGTGGTGTGGTGTGGTGTGGTGTGGTGTGGTGTTGTGTTGTGTTGTGTTGTGTTGTGTTGGGTTGGGTTGGGTTGGGTTGGGTTGGTGTGCGTGCGTGCGTGCGAACGTGCGTGCGTGCGTGCGTGGGTGTGTGTGTGTGTGTGTGTGTCTGTGTGTGTGTGCGTGTGGTGTGTGTGTGTGTGTGTGTATGTGGGTGTGCGTGTTATGTGGGTGTGTGTGTGTGGTGTGTGTGTGTATGTGAATGCGTGCGTGCGTGCGTGCGTGCGTGCGTTTGGGCGTGCGTGTGTATATGTGCGTCTGAGTGAATGGCTGGGTGGATTGGTGTGGGTGGGTGGGTGTGCGTGCGTGCGTCGGTGGGTGGGTGGATAGGTATGTATATTTGTGTATGTGTGTGCCAAGATCTCGGACACTTGAGGCGGTGCTGGAGATCATTGCGAACGATCGCTTGGACAGCGACTGCCCAAAATATGCCGCTTCTCGTGCTGCAACATCGACAGGGATCCTTTCATTATACCTGAGCATTGCTTTGTAAATGGTGGTTTCCCTTTATTTTGGTGGAAAAAGCCATGTTTCAAATGGGCAAAATGTATTTTTTAAGGAGCCCTGATCGAGCAAATGTGCAAGGGCATGAGCTGCGGCATGAGTAATTCGGTTGTCCAGGAAACGCTCGCTGTTGTTCACGGCCGCCACGCGTGAGCACTGGGATGCTTTTGAGGGGGCCTCCAATGCGCTACACCTTGAGTTATGGTATTCGGCACGTTTGCAGTAGCTCCAGAATCCGGAATATTGTGAACTGGTCAACCAGTGTTGTTGACACTGATCTAAGAATGCATAACAAAGTACAAAAATGAACTGAGCCTGCAAAACACAGGCCCCACACAACATGCGCCTCGATCATCTCGGTCGTGATTCCATGCGGCAGCAGGCTGGCAATGTCCTAAGCCACAAGGCTACATTCTGACATGTATGTTGACTGCGCCATGTCGCAAGAGCTGTGTTGGAACATGTGATATGAGGTTTCCCTAACATGTGCAGCGCAAAGCTACTCTGCGAATGGTATTGAAAGTGACAAAGCCATCTGTTCCCGCAGTAAAAAAAGCATCCGGCGCGAGCCAAGCGCGATGACACGGGCCTCGGGAAATGGGTGACTTTCCATCCGATGTCCGCTTTCCATCCGATGTCCGACGGCTGGGTTGCATTTCTTCAGTCTTCTTTGCCCTGCAAACCCCCGGAATTCAACAAAAGAGAACACTTGGGACCATCTGTACGATCCAATAGTGGATTCAGTCCACAAATGGAAATCGCTATGCTTCCTGATGGGGGAAGTAAGGTTGGCCTTAAAAGCCTCCCCAGCATCATTCCCAGCATCGCGTTGCCTGCTGCAGGAGGTCTGGAACATGCCACGTGTTTCCCTCTTTTGAATGGACGTCAGATGTGCTCAGATCGGAATCTCAATGGTTCACAGACAAATTTATCGGAAACACTCCTGAGCATTGTCTTTGTGTTCAAGCGGTCGGTGTCTTGGCATCGTCATTGTGTTGTTCCCTCCTTGGTTGTGTGCTCTCATTTGGGTGTTCTTCCTCAGGTGCATGTTCTCATGGGCAAAGAGCGACGGCGGCTGCCGTAGCAAGCTCCATACATCTGACATACAACGTAGTGTGATAAGCCCGGAAACATGTGGCAGCTATACACATTCTTGAGGCCAAGTGCTGACTTCCGCTGCCTGCCAAACAACTCGCTGATTACAAGACTTCCGCAATGCTCGCTGCTACCATGTCAGCGTGCAAGTCGAGCCGAAGCAATTCGATTGTGCCAAGCCGCCACCACTGATTTGATGTTCTGAATGAAATCGTCATCAGGACTGCGATGCGCGAGCAGCCAAAACCCAGAAAAGTGTCTACTGTACTGGTTGTGGGGTCAACGATGCCCAGCAAGTAATGTTCTGAAACATGCCCATTTCAATCACCATGACAGGTCGTATCATCCAAATATAGGTCTCACCCCCAAACAGCGCTTTGCCTGGAATAGGTGCTTTGGCTGACCTTGCGTGGCGACAAAGCTTTTGAGCCCGTCACCAAATGAAGTCCGCCCAGTAGATCGGTATCATCCTAACGCCGATGCTCCAAGTGCGCTGCGCCGAAGCTCGGGAGATCCCTTCGACTCGCAAAAAACATCTCCTGATGCGCGGCTGCTTAAGGTATGACGCGGTCAGCTCACCCAAGCACCACGGCCTGGCATCCCACAACCAAACGCCAACTGCATGCCTCGTCAACATCCGCAATGAACCCAAAGGCATAGGTGGCCTTTTGGACAAATAGATGGCCCTGGTAAATGGAACAAAAACCATCTAAACCAGTGCCATCTATTCTTAACCAGGCTTACCTAAAAACGAAACCTATGCTCAAACGTTGGAATGCATGGAGAAAACGCTGAAACTCACCTCATCAGCAGCTCGTTGGAGAGCAGCAAAACCTCGCAAAGCCAAATGCATCGAGAAAGCACACGCCGAAAGCAAAGCCGGGGGTTCTAGGTCGTGTCACCTGCACTCGTTTCAACCAAACAGGAGAACAGCCTGAGTGCAGGGTTGTGAATACATCCATGGTGTTCACGCATACACAGAAATACACCAGCAAAGACTCCAAGCAATGAAGTTCAATTTCACAAAAACACAATCAACACCACAAGAACGAAGGCATCATGATGACCGCGCGGGTAGCGTCATGATGATGTAGACATGATCAAAGCAGTCTGCAGCACGGAGATAATGTAGATAGCACGATAACAATGCAGGCAGGATGATGCGGACCGCGCCATGATTGCACAAACAGCATTGTGGTAACCTCAGCTGACAGTATAAGCACCTTACAATGATACGGGCAACATCATGATGAAGCAGACAGGACCATAAAAATGTTCGTGGAATCGGACGACGTGGGCAACATCAAGATGATACGGGCAAATCATAATCGAGACCGCACGCAACATCATCACGAGAGTGTTGACTGCGTCATGATGCAGGCAGCATTATAATGACGCTGGCAGACTCATGATAACGCAAACTGGAACAACTGCGCGGCCTTCCACCCAACCTCAAGCGAACTGGAACTGGGAGGGAGACACGTGAATTGATCCCAGGAAGCGGCCACGCGCCATCCGACCCAGGCGTTTGCCGAAAGCTTCGGAAAGGAATGAGTTGGAGCGCGCTCCATTCCACCCAGGCCTGAATCAAACCCAGTCCAGCTGCGTGCGCGTGCTAAATACTGCGGATCCGGAGGGAACAGGCGGTATGCTGACAATGTGAGCTGCGCTATGACAACACGAGCAACACTGCGATTACGCGCGGGCAGCGTCGTGGTGACGAAGATAGGCTCGCAACGCAAAGGCAGCATTGCGGTCACAGGACCAGCATCATGACAACACGGGCGGCGAAAACAAAATATTGCGGGAAGCAGCACGAGAATTCAGCAGGCAAGACAATGCTCGCGGAATCCCCATGATGCCAGGGGCATTGGTACACTCAGCATCGTGAAACGCACAGCGCCCGAGCCATGCCAGGAATGCGAGTCGGGAGACACTGGCAAAAAATGGCCCGGTCTCCGGAACGGTTTCTGGAGTGCATCCAAGCTGGGAGGCAGTGGGAGACGGATGAATTGCCCGGTCTCCCGTCTGGATTTAGAGCCCCATTGCAAGATGTGCAAAGTTCTTGATCCCTTTTCACACAAACACACACGCACAGACACACACGGACACTCAAGCGCGGCTATGGTGTTGCTGCTGGCAACACGCCTCTGGCACCTCTGGGGCCCCCGCCATATTCTGGCTTTGGGTGGCCACATAATCGAACAAGTACTCCAAGGACTGAAGGTGATCACAGTCAAGGAAGACCAGCCTGCAGCTCAGCAATAGCCGGTGCCATAAGGCAAAGGCGAGAAGATGCAGCTAGTCCAGGCTCACTGAATGGAACTGGCCCTGATTGGCAGCGTCATCCAACACGTTTTTGGGTGGCGTGGTCTTTCAGGGGGTTGTTGCACTCGCTGCATGTGCAGAGTTGCCAAAGGCAAACTGGATGCACATGGCTTGGTCAATGCCAGGTGTTGACTCGCAAACTCGCGCTTATGCTGCACAAGCGTCACGATGCAGACACTTCAGTCAAGCGTCTGATTGCGGAACACTGCAGATTTAGCGCAAAGCTCGTCCAAGTGGATCTTCAACAGCCTCACGCACGCGGGATGACTACTGCATGTTTGGGTGGAATAACACACCTCCTCCAGTCAGCCTGTTGAACGTGTTGGTGACTCACAAGCAAGTTATGCATACAAAATGTTATACGCTCAGTGGAATTTGCGGCCTCTTTCCACAATCAAGTAAACTGTCACATTCAACTCCAGATGCCAAAACTGCAGAGATTTGCTTTTTGGCATGTCAAATTGCAGAGCTGCCTATACACCTTCCCATGGGTTGTTTATCCAACCCAACAGAACTGCATGCACAAGCCCAGCCAACTCGGAACAAACCACGAGGCTCCAACAATGGTAAACAACTCGAAAAGGCCTTCTTGAATTCAATACTGGAATATCCTGGAAGGTAAAAACATGCGTAAAGCCAGGAAGTCAAACGCTCCCGCCTTGCAAACGCGCCAGCTTCTGCTTTGTTGTGGCAGAGATAGAAGCTGAAGGGCTTAGATAGGTGCTGCCTGTCCGGAAGCTGCTAGCTCGGAAGGCCATGCAATGGTGGCAAAACGAGCCATGCGCTTGGTGGCAGTCGACCCAAATTGTTCAAACGCTTGAACCCAAGGTGTCCTCATTCGGGGGACTTCAGGCGACAGGCGACTGCTCGAGCGAGCTTGGGCCAAAACCTTGGCCCAATGGACTGAATGGCCTGATGTGCTTGAAGAGCGCAGCAGCCATCAGCAAAAAGTTGAGAACGATTATGATGGCCTAGGCGCGGGACGCGCCACCCGGTGATTTGCCCCGTCAACCCGCGTCACAAGCCAGAGCCATTTGGCTGTGGCTCACAAAAAAGGTACCAAAATGGAACCCTTGTAAGTGGAAACATGGACCAAAACCTGCGTAACCCCTCCTGTTGAATTTTGAGCCACACCCATTTGAGGCTCCCTGCCACCATGCCAGAGCAAAGCCAGGAGACTGCACTGCGATTCACCTAGCGCTCGGAAAATGCACCCAACTCTTCGATACAGAGGACCAGATATTCGATTTGGTCCTTCACAGGTCCAAAGCCCATTTGGGAAATCTTCCATTTTCTGAGGTTGGCCTCAACAGGTGACAAAGCGTGCCTGCGTTTGGCTAGCCATTTGCTTGGCCCGACTGCCGGCGACAACTTGCCTCCGTCGCAGTGATGCCACCAACGCTGAGAAACGTGATCATGCCCTGGGTCAGAGCCGCTGTGCAATCTGACAATCTGTGGTCAGAGCACGTATCCGCACAAAGCACAAGAAACAAAGCATGTGACATGGCAATACGCTTCAAGATGGTGCCTCAGCTTCGAACCTCAAATCTATCGAAATAACAAAGCCCCACCGATTGTGGCGCAAAACAAAGAAGCTGCAAGGTGTTCCAGTGCTGCTTCTCATTTGCGCATGCCGAGGATGGCATTAGAACACAACTCAAACTCTCAGCAAGCCGCTCTGGTGTTCATTCCAGGGGGTCTTTTTGCCACCTTTTGTGGAACAATTAATCGACCCCCTAGTGGAGGATTCCTCTTTAAGGGGGTTGCCCATTTTCTGACAAAAGGTGGCAAAAGACCCCCTTGGTTCATTCAGCCTAGGCTCGATCGTAATGGAGGCATCCAAGACATTGCCAGCGTAGGTCCTCCAAGGCAGCCAGCTGATCACCATGCACCTGCGCATCGAACACAGGCGCGGTGAGCAGCGGGCAGTCGGAACGGGGTGCCCCATTGCAAGCGGTGACACATGAAACTTGGGGCCAACGGGGCTGACTGAACAGCGCAAAGCAGCCCCAAGAGTGACAGCAGCCTAAAAATCGGGGCTCTTGTCGAGGTATAGGAAAGGAATCTTGTCGAGGTATTGCCAACGAAGTCGTGAGGACCGCTTTTCAGTCGTCTCTACACCCTACCCTCGGGACCTTGCGCATGCGGCTGGCACATAGCAATCCAGTCTGAGAGATGGCTCTTAGCAATTGGCGGTGAGCATTTGAATCCGAACTGGGCACGTTCCTGAGGCGCTCGAGCCGTGGCTTCTGTTAGTTGCTCAGCCAAGGCGCAGGTACATCAGCTGCAGCAGAAGCAAGCCTCAGCTGTAAGGAGCATCGCGCATCTTGCTGCTTGCCGGCTTGTCGAATGAGCTAACTTGGAAATTTAGCTGAACATGCTTGAACATGGCATGGTCCAATTCAATCAACGTCTCTCGCTCTCTCTCACTACATTCCAACAAACACGCTCTTGCACGCGCAGCCACGACCCACCATGCTACTGGCCTGTTCAAATGCAATATTGCTCTCCAACATACGCACTGTGTTGAGAGTCAAGTCTCCTTATTGCTGGCACAGACCTGCATGCGCATGCTGCTAATATACGACAAGCAGCAAAAAATCTGAGTAGTGACATTTGGCAGTGTTGGAACCACCGGGACCATAAGATTCCGAAGCACCACCACCAGGATGAACCAGTAGGCCTGCCGGTGGCCACATGCACCAGGCGCCGAATGCTCGCTCATGGCTCGCCATGGGCGAGCAGGATGCTCCCGGCCTCTGGCTTGATTCGTATAAAAAGGAAGCTGAAGGACTGCATAAAGCGCTCGTTGTTCCTCCCGACTCCCAAGCGCATGGCGCCGAATGCTGGATGAATCCACGGGTCTCTTTAAAGGTGTCCATGCTTCACCTCTGAATTCTCATTGCAATACGAACCATGACAAGGGAACCTGCAGCTGATACTTCATTACCCAACAAGCTGACCCCCTTTGCCAAAAGATGGTCGTCCCATTTAACTCCTCGAGCGTGGCTCCAGTAAGCGACCGTGAAACTTCCCACCCACGTGATCCCCAGTCTTTTGGATTTGCCGCGGGAACTGGTAGATGAGGGCGATGCACGCCGCAATCCAGCCCAGCACAAGCAGCATCTCAGCATCACACAAAGAAAATAACTGCTGACATAGGCTTGCAGCATGCCAAGCAGCTGACAGGCTGAAAAAGCCTCTTAAAGCTGTTGACATTGTCTTTAAGCAACACAACATCAGTCTGCACTCAACGCACCTGTTTTAAACACAACCATGGCTCCCTTCAACATGGACATTGCAAACGTGGGACTTGGACCCAGAAAACATCTGCCGCCTGTTTCTCCAAGCTTCTGAAAAGCTACCCAAGGCGGCCATCCAGCTCCACTCGTCGGAACGCCAACCTCGCTGTGCTTCAAACGGCTGTGGTTGTCAAAAATAGGGGTCCAAAATGGGTTGCCCTGGCAAATGGAAAGGCAGACTAAAACCTGCGTAACGCCCAGAAATTTTGACCCACAGCCAAACCTGCCTGACTTTCGTGAGGTGCCGCCCACTACTCTCTTGCAGCCGCCAAGTTCGCCTGTTTGATGCCTTCCCTGGGCAACGTGCACAGCACCGGTGCAACTGTCAACCGCTGACTTGGCTTCGGTTACCTTCTAAGTCAAAGTTGGCACCTTTGCAGTCGCAAACGCGCTGCACCTCACTCGACCCCCCGGAGCAAAGACGGCTGAGCATCCAGCTGCAAATCACCTCCGGGAAGCTGGACACGGTATGGAGCCCGTTGGGGTGCGCGCGGCATTCCTTAGAACGGGCCTGTTTCCACATGCGATTTTGCGATGTCCAAGAACTTCAGTTGCAAGCTGCACAAGCTGAGCGGCGTCCAAGCTCAATTCCAAGTGGCTGTGGGTCAAAATGAAACCAACAGGAATCGGACCGCAGATTTTGGTCCATGTTTCCACTTACCAGGGCAACCCACTTTGGGGTCACCCTATTTGTGACCCACAGCCAAGTGACGACAAAGGACCTGGACAGCCTACGCGGAGGGGCGGACCTTCGCGGGAAGGGGTTCCTCCTTTGTCCGGTCGGTGATTCTGCCATTCAGAAAACCGCCTCCCCGCTCATGGTGGATGGGCAACCAAACTGGTGTCAACCCTGGTCCGTGAATGCCTGACTAATGACACTTCCACGCCCCAGCATCATCAGCACTGCCGAAAACCCAATCCGTCCAGCTCCTGTGGTGGCTGTTTAAGGTTTGGGGGCTGCCCGCAAGATCAAAAGTAACTTCAGCGTAAAGACTCTCTTGGCAATCTGACAGTTCGGCATTCCCATGATGACCTTGCCTACAGGTGGCAAATACAACACCATTTGCAGCGCGCGTTCACCGTCTAGTCTGACTTTTGGCGGAAATTCACCATTAGGCGGCATCTTTGACGGCTTTCGGTCTGGGATGGACACTTGTCTTGGTGTTTGACACAACCTGGCAAGACTACATGTGATTCAAGCGGAAGCATATGCTTTGAATGTTTTGTTCATTGAACATTTTTTGTCCCAACATGGCTTGGTATACGGAAAGAGATGGACTGAAACCTGCGGTCCGCTTCCTGGTTTAACGCTTGACCCATCGCCATATGGCCATGGGTCAAAATCCAAACCGCACCCCCGGTGAACATCCCAATCCCCACTAAAATAGGTTCTAAAATGGGTGGTGAATTCACCAATCCCAACAAAAATTGGATTTTATTGGCTTTGACCACCACAGCCACATCTACATCTTCTTTGTTTCCGTGGCTCAAGCCGGCACCTACTTGCCTGCGGAACACGCGTGGAACAGGCAGACACAGCCTGCCGACCAAGTGCTGCCTGCTTCACGGACAAGTCAGAAGCAATGGGTGTCCTTTTTGGTTGGAAACAGATTTGGGTTTCCCTGGTAGATGATTAAACCACCAGGTAAACCAGGAATCGCCATCTATCTTTCCATAAACAACCAAAAAAGACACCCATGGTCAGAAGCAGATGTTTTGATTTATTTTTGGGGCTCCGCCTGGGGAAATGCAGGGATGCAGGCCCATCATAGAAGTGATTGGTTTTTCACTTGGCCACTTTGGATCCGAGGCAATCCCGGCCTTCGTGGCACACTCTGAGCCTGTCACTGCTTGGGCGTGTTCACTATTCGCACTCGGAGTTGCACTGGCAAAATTCCACATAAACACATGCACGTATATACTCTTCTCCTCATGGAGAACGCATCACACGCTGCAGCAACACGCGCTGCAAACGCACCATCCTCGATCCTGTCCGCACCGCCGAAACTGGAAGGCAGAATCATTTCCTCCCAAGCCACTTGATCACAAACATGGCAGCCCACATCTGAAGCTTTCGGGAACAAATGTCACGAACAGCCAAAGCCTCCTGTCACATAAATGCTGGGAACCTCTGCCTCCTGATCACTCCCACAACCCTCTCCGATCTTACAGAAGTGTTGAGTTGAATCGCAAAGCCAACAGGCGCTTTCAATGTTGACTGGGTGCAGAGCATTTGAAATGCACGTTGGGAACTTCATGCGAGCAAGAGTCGAAAGGTGTCAGCGCTGCATGGCAGAGCCTGGGACACGCATCATGACAGCCAGCATCATGACTCATTTTTGCCCATACCTGTACCATTCCATTCTTGTCGAACCAACCTTTCCAACCTCTTTCAAAAACTTCTTCGACAGTTCAACCAACTCTTCCGAATTTGGGCGCGAGCCTCAAAAAAAACTCTTAGGAGTCGACTTCCCCCAAGAATCCCACGGCGCTTTTTCCGGCCCAAGGCTTCAAGGCTTCCAGGCATCCGCCAGGCATCGCAACCGAGGCCCAGGCGCGATCTGGAAGAGCAGGCAAATGGTGCCGATGACCCGCAGCAGCGAGGGCGTGCGCTGCCAGAAGGCGCCGCGATACCTCAGCAGCACCACCACGCCGTGCAGCGCCAGGAAGGACCCCAGCCTCGCATCGAGAGCCGGCTACACGTTGTTCAGCGCGTAGCGCCGCTAATATCCAGAGAACCAAACAAAAGAAAACAGAGAAACGGAAACCCACCAGAAATCTTATACACAGAGGCGAACCAAGCCACCAATCGAAAGAAAAACATGAAGTGGACACAGAAACCATGATGGAATTGCAGCTTGCCATAGGTTGGCCAGGACGGCTGCATCTTGCCTGGAAACATTGGCCAGGAGGGTGCGGGCATACACAAACCACGCCAAATCAACTCAACATGAATAAAGGCAAAGTGCAATATGGTTTATCCTGCCAGGCGAAAACGCGAATGCTTTGAGTAAAATAGGTTCAACCAAGGTGAACAGGAGCGACTGACAAATCCTCTGCACTAGTGTCCATAGTGGTTTTTGCATCCCACGTCTGATCGTTGACACCAACTGGTTAGCAGGGACTTGCGAATGATTAAATTTAAAACAAAAAATAGAAAGGAGAAACAAAAAGGAAGACAAAAAAGAGGAAAAAAATCACTATTCCACTGTTGCACGTCGCACATATTGTCATATCCCATACAACAAGCCAAGACCACCAGTTCGATTGCATTTCGCGGGCCACTCTCTCAGGCGCTGGCACGCTGGCGGCAAGCATCAGCCTCGAATATGTGACAAGCTCTCGGGCACCCAGGAATTCATCGCTCCGAAATGTCACGCCATGTCTTACCTTCTGCCAGGTCTTTCTTTGTCTCACGTCCCACATCTTGCAACGAACTGCCGCCGCCTGTCATGCCATGCTCTAACTCAACTCGACTCGTCAAGCCCAAAGGTGCCTGCTCGCGTAAGCCCACACGGAGGACAGGTCGGCCCAACATCCCACGCGAACCACCTGGCTGGCTTCGGAGCTTGACTCTCCACAGTCGGCGCTGGAACATCGCGCTGTGCGGCTTGAGGAATCTGCAACTAATTTGTTGGGGCGGCCTGAACCCATGCAGCACCCATCTGAGTTTGAGTCTCTCTTGGACATGTAAACATGCGCTTTTTGTTGCCGTCAAACTGAATGCGTCACACTTGAATCACCTGAACCTTTGAATCTGCACCTGTGAATGAAGTGAGCCCGTTGACGCACAGCAGAGCGCTCCGACACCTCTGTGAGGCAAATTTCAAGTGCGTTCGAGGTCAGCAAAAGCTACCCGTTGTCGGCCGGTTGACGATGGCTGCCATCCAACATTGGCACAGTGCTAATGGGTGTGGGTCAAACGTTCAACCACCAGGAATTGGACCGCGGGCTTGAGTCCTGGGTTCCATTTACCAGGGCAAGTCATTCTGCATACCAACTTTTGACCCAGGGGAGAATCCAGGCCCATTGAAGGCCGCGCCTCCAAGTCAAAGCCCACAATCTGCATGGATTCGAGGATCCAAGAAGTGGGTGGCTCCCAGGGGACTTGTGCTCTGCCCACCGAGCTAAACTGCTGCAACACCACCACAAACCTGGGGATGACACATGTTGCTCGAACATTCAGATCAGCCAGCCGACAGTCAGAAACTCTTCACTGTGAACGTGCTGCAAGCCGGTCCCAAACCCAAGTCATACAAAGCTGCAACTCAAACCACAAAGCCAACACCCATGCTCATCTAGAGGCTGTAACGGATTGCCAGGCGTCACAAAGTCCAAAAGTATTGGGAAAGCACGCACTAAACACTGCATCGGTCACCATGGTCCACCCGCTTTGTCAGGCAACATTGTGGAGAGGATGCTCGCTTGCAGTAGCGAGTGTGGTTGCTTGGCATAGTCGGCACGGTCCAAGATCATATAGGCCTGCGGTGTTCCGGAGACAAAAAGGGTGTCGAAGCAACACACGTCAAAACTGCAAATGATGCGTGTCAATGAAAGTAGCTCGTGCACTCGGCTACAGCGTCGAAAAGCACTTCCAAGCTGCAAGACTCCTGCAGTCGCTCACTTGGCGATCTAATCTTTTCTGCCTTTGTTCTTGAAAACGGCTCCGGCTATGCGTATCTTTTCTTAGCTGTTTGTTTTTCAAGGGGCTAGTCGCCCCCACTGGCGACCAAGCCTTTCGCGTATTCAAGGCGTCTGTTTGGAATGATTTTTTACAGTAAATCACGCTGCAGACTCTGTGTCATATCCTTAGCTCCCGGCAACGATCGCTGAGCACGGGAAGACAATACCGCCGAGGACGATCAAGCTGGCAAGGTCACCGCTCTGACACTCCTGAGTTTCTGATTTGCACATTGACAATGCTTCAAAATTTCATGCTCAAAGGTGTATTGATCATAAGAACTAACTGTCCAAAAAGGCATATCGAACGAATGGACATCCACCTGAAGTTGGGGCATGGCTGCAGATTGTCAAATATCTTGGAATGTCTTCGAAGGATGCCAATTCGGTAGCCATCGCCTTCACAGGAATGCCGGAGAAGCGGAACACTTCTCATTCACGTGTGTGCTTCGGTGTGTTGCAGCTGATGTTCGCATCACAGCGCACATGCCAAACAACAAGGCAGGATGCCACAGATTCTAAAAAATTACGCAAGCCTTTTCTTGACTGCAAACTGCCTCTTACACCACGGATCAACCCCTCCTCTCTGGCACAGATGTTGAAAGAATGCCAAAGGACGACGTAAGCAGCGCAACAGCTGCAACTCCTTTCCCTGGCGACAAAGGTATGTAGCGGGGATCTTTATCGCGACGTAAGCGTGTAACGAGAAAACAGCGCTTGCCACGTGCGCCGCTCCCACCCGAAAGTCGCAACACTTCAGTTAGCGAGTACTAGTGGTACAATGTGAACAAGTGCACTTCCGCAACTCCAGCTCACAAGTAGCAGATGTTACTGACACAAAAAAGAATCGCAGCTGAAAACTGGGACCAAAGAATTGCTCACCCTGCTCCCACCCAGCTGCGGCATGCGCAATTCTGTTGATCGGGACGCTCCTTTTCTTGAGCCAACTGGATTCCAATCAAGCCGGTTAAGCCCTTGCAAACAACTGTCCGACCACACGCCCATTAAAAAACAGTTTCCTGCCACATGCGGCGCCCTCATACTCCGTGGAGGCTGCGCAAGATCACTGGCCGCGCCAGAGGCTGCTAGCACGAAGGTATATTGGCGCTTTTCACAGGCCATAAGTCCGCAAGATGTCTACCATTTACACTTTTAACGCGGTTTGGCGCGACAAACTTTAACTTCATTTGCCACGAACATCTGCAAGCGGAGCCTTCTCGGCGAATGTCGGCGACCTGCGACGCGGCTTTGGTGCGTTCAAGGCGCGCGCCATTCCCTGGCGCAAGCTGCTCAGCAAGACACTCTAGGTTCACCTTCTGGGTACAGGCCACCCGCCTCAACCTTGGAGAGTACTCTTTGCGAGCTATCAAGGTATTATTTTCATATCAGACAAGGTTGATCTTGCGAACTAAGAGTTTTCCCGTAACCTCAGGATAAGGGAAACGATCTCAGTCTTGGTCGCGGGCCGTGAGCGAAGGACAACGAGCCCCACAGCGCGGGCTTTGCGTCCGTCTGTACGCAGCGCCAGTTGCAGCTGCACGGCCCTTACCAGCCGAGTAGAGCGAGCGGAATGAAAGTGTCAAAAGCTGCCGACCCCTAGCGGGATCAGCACTTGGCTTACGTCGGGTCTTGAAAGCTGGCCTCGCCACAAGGCTAGCTCACCTTCCGTCTTGTCATCTTCACCGGGAAGGGGCCACTCGTTTGCGCCTTGAGACTGGCTGCGTTGCGTCTTCACACATGTCACAGACAGCCGTGTGTCTCGCCAGGACGTCCGAAGCCGTCGGATTAAAGTGAGCTTCATTGCAAAGCCCAAGCCTAGTCGCGATCAGGCTCGACACTGGACTCAAGGCGATTGATTGGGACGAAGCTCGCGCAGCGCTCTGACTCCCCACGCCTTTCTGACAAGCTGCGGTTGTTGTCTGATCACCCGAGGTTGGTGTAGTTGCGTAGTTGCGCTAGAACATCGTTCGCTGCCCGCAAGCCACGCCCCAACATGCTGCTGCAAAACCTCCTCAACCGCCCGCTGGCCGGCGGCGCAACCAAGCTAGGGAGGTCAAGAGCAACCTTTCCCCAGGCTGCACCACTCGGCGGTGTGATCTGTCCGCCCTGCTCTTCTCCCACGCGGCGCCGGTACCCAACCTGGGCCGCACTCTTCGGCGGATGCACGAGGGCCTGCCAAGTAGGAGCAAGGTGGGTCTAATCAGTCCAAATCGAGCTGCGGCTGATAAGAACTCAAACAGGGAAGAAATGCAGCAAACCAGGAAACAGAATGGGCCAAAGAATTACCCATCCTCCCACCTGGATGCAAAACTCTGTGAATCAGGACGCTCCTTCTTAAACCAATGCATCACAGTCAAGTCGGTTCAGCCCTTGCAAACACCCCCCCTACCACATGCCACGCGCTGACCACTTGGGAGCACTTTCATGCCACACGCGCTCTCACATGGCGCGAAACGCGCGCCTCCTGAGCTCCAGCTCGAAAGTTGAGCGGGGTGCAGCAGGGACCCGGGCTGGGCCTGTTTCTGAAATGAAGTATACAATCACTATGTAACGAGGTATGTATAAACGAGGTATGTGTTGACGAGGCATGGCACAGAAAGAATACTTTTTGGGCCCTCCCTGCTACCTGTTCCAAATTTGCTTCTCAGGTGTGTCCAGCAAGAGTATGCTCGGCAGAAAGTTTAAAAGTCGGCCGCGCAGGCACCCTGGGGAGATCACTCAGAGTCTGGGTATGCATCGGGGTTTTCAACAAGAAGCTATGCAACCAGACAGGTGGTTTTGTTTGTGTGAGTATGTAACCAAGATATGAACGAGGGGGTATGTAACGAGCCCGCAGGCCTAGCTGCAGAGTTCCTGCAAGCCGCTACAGACCACTCAAAACAAAGCCACTGCCAACTACCACCCAAAGCCAAAAAACAAGTCTGTCCAAGCCGCCACACATGTAGCTCCTTCCCCATGGGAAATCATGCCTGAGGCGGCTCCGTGCCGTGTGGCACTTTGGCTGAGCTTCCAACCCGTTCCAAACGTAGGCAGCCGTTGTCGTCAGATCAACGAAAGCGCTCAAATCCATTCGACGCGCGACACCAGAAGTGTCTGGCAATCAAGTGTCAAGCTCTTATCAGCTTCGAAATGCGCGAGTTGCTAAATGTAGTTGGTGTCCAACGGTCAAACCATTCTCCCGGCCATGGTGCCAGGCAGGCATCGCGCGCAAGACATGCCGGTTCGCCCCTCACAGCAGCTGCCAAACGGCCCGAAGGGGCAGCGGTTCGGATCATCGTGGCAGCGGAATACTGACAGCCTTGGTCAGGTGGATGTTTTGAGCGCTTCTTTGTCTCAGCGCATTGAGCAACTCGCTCCTTCCTTTGCCAAGGCGCGTCTCATTTCCTGCACGCTTGACGTAAAATCCTCAGTCGGGGATTAAGCCGTGACGAACATCGGTTTCGCGCCGGATGTGTCTCATGTGGGTATGGGTCAAAATTAAACCACCAGAAAAAGCGCAAGTGTTTGTCCATGTTGCCATTTCCCAGGGCAAGGCATTGGGGTGCCTATTTTTGACCCACAGCCACATCAGGCAAGCGGAGTATTTGCGGAATCCCAGTTCTACCAGTTGTGACCATAGTTATGACGACCCATGAAGTGGGTTGAATATCCTTAGGGGGGAAAAACGGTCATCTGTCTCTTTCAGGGTTGGTCTCAGCCACAAGACGCCGCAATCCTCTCAGGTGCAATCACGGCGCCCAAGGCTTGGAGGGGCTCTCCCATGCCACCTGCCGAAGGGCGACGGGTTTCAGATGCCAAGTGGCCATTCTGATCCGGGTCGGAAAAAAGAAACCACCCATTCTGGGGGGGGGGGAAGGCCTCCGCCTGGGGTAGCAAAGAAAGAAATTCCGTTTTTGTCTTCCAACTCTGCGCAAGAGATAACACAGCGTGGTCAAAGATCACTGGTCGCTCAAAAGGCAGAAATACCTCTGGCGGAGCTTGCAAGTTGGAACGAGCAACTCAATATGGCACGGGCCTTGGCAGTGAACGCCCGTCGGGCATGGGACACAAGCATTTTCGCTTCTCCTGACAAGGGAGCTGGAGGAGTCTAATCTCAGCATTCGCCTATCATGATGCTTGTGCTCAGAACCTCAATCCGATTTGAAATGCTCAGGCAAAGTGAATAAACTTTCATCCAGCCGTTGCAAGCTGCGCTCCGGTAGTAGGTCCCCTCAGAGCAAGTGCAGTCTGTGGGTGATGTCCTCAGCAGGTTGTGGAAGGACGGGCAGGTGAGCTCTCAAAAGCTACGTCGCAACTCTGCCAGCACAGCTGGCGGCGCAACCACTGCAGGGCATCCCCTAATTCGGATTCTGGCATCAAGTCCCTCCAAAATGATGGTGCACAATACAATCCGGCACAGGGCAAATTCAAGAGTGCTTGAGTCAGGGTTCCGTTTTTTGACTACCCCCAGGTAGACTTAAACCCAGGGGTTTCCCTTTTGGGGAAATGACTTTGGGGTAGTCAAAAAAGGGAACCCTGGCTTGAGTGCTTGAGACTTCTTCGCGCCGGGAGGCGCCATTAAAAATGTTGTGGCAGAGTTAAGGTAGACGTCGCTGCAGTTCCTGACCAAGGAACGGAATGACACATGATGTCATCATCTTGCAGTCTTTGGAGTCACCCGAATTGCCAGCGCACGCAAAGTCGTGCAAGTTTATGATTCACTCTCGGATGGCATCATACCACAGCATTCATTGCACCCAGAAAGTCAGTGCAACACGTGCCATCAACGACATGTAGCTTTGATACGTCACAGAGCCTGCAAAAAATCTGAAAAGCAACACACAGGGGCCCAGAACGAGATGGCTACGAGATGTGTAGCACGGTGAGCAGGTTCCGTTTCAGCCCTGGTTTTCGGTGGAAAACTACGCCGAGACACGTATGTGTTTGAAGTAATTCTCGCCGAGACACGCATGGCGACACAACGTGGCTGTGGGTCAAAACCAATGGTACTATTTTGGGGTAGGTGAATTCACCACCCATTTGAGTCTATTTTAGTGGGGATTGGGATGTTCACTGGGGGTGCGGTTTGGATTTTGACCCATGGCCACGTTCCACACAACGATCTTGCATGGCAAAGCACACTCAGATTCTGCACCGCAACGAGTGAATCCCCGTGCGTCAGACAGCATGCACTTCCGGGCATCAGAAGCGCATGGAGTCACCACGAAACATACCCGCCAGTCCAGAAGATTGACTCTCCATTTTGAGTGCAGAGTTGGAAATCACAATGCCTTGTATAACGTTCTTTGGTGTAGTTGAGCTACGTACGGCTGAGGGAAAACAACAAATTGGAAACTAGCCATGAATTGAAGGCCTATAGAACTGCCTCCAAATTGGCTCTCTCGCACACCCTCAGACCCTGGCTCGGCCTGCATGCAGTTGCCCCAGCAAGATCGGCGAAAGTGGACATGGGGCATCGCTCGCACTGCAGAGAGCCCGGGCGCTCCGCGAAGGTGCCCGGCTCGCAGAACTTGGGCGACCTTGCGCGTCTTCAAGCTGAGTGCGTCGAGGGCAACCAACGGCCATCCCTCATGTCGCACTTCCCGTAGCCCAAGGCGCGTCATGACTTCGGAGCCAGCAGACTTAAAGACTAAAAGAAACCGTGCTGCTGTGCCCGCTGAGCGCCGCAAGAATGATGATGCTGATGAGGATGATGAGGATGAGGATGAGGATCATGATCATGATCATGATCATAATGATGATGGTGATGATGATGATGATGATGATGATGATGATGATGATGATGATGATGATGATGATGATGATGATGATGATGATGATGATGATTAATATTTACGTTTGTTGTTCAGTCGGTGGGGTGATGGGGGTGAATTATCTAGCCAATGCTTGTTGAAAGACACTGCAACAGCAACTCGCGATAGGCCAGCAGCACTAGCGGCATCGCAAATATTTGACGGTGGCAAGGCCGGGACTCCTGCTCACTGACTCACAGGTGCAGCAGGAGGAGCTTTTCAATAAGCAGCACTTGCCGTGATGCTGGGGATGTTGCAGCATTTTGTCCATAGAGGATTGAAATGCTGTGTCACGCTAAGCCTTCGCATGCCTCCTGGGCTTGACCCCAAGAGCAGCGAAAATGGTCCACGCAAAAACAGCAGGGGATCCATGAAACGTCAACAGGCCTTGTTCGCATGCCTTTCGCGGCACAGTTTCGGTATCAAACTCCTTCGGTCAGCTTTGGACCGGAGGAGGTCTAGGCTTCACATCGCTTTTCTCGGCATGGCCGCACTGGGCGGCAGCGCTTACATACAACACGGATTGCGACAAGGAACCCCCCCGCGCACCCAACAAACCGATCGCTGTCCCTATTTCGCGGAGGTGACACGCTCCCGCTTTCACGTGGCCCTGGGGGTTCGATTGGGTTTGGAAGCCTCAGTGACACAACCGCCGTGGGCGGGCGGCGGGCGGGCGGGCTGGTGGGCTGGCGGGCGGGCGGGGCGGGCGGGCGGGCGGGTGGAGCAGGCAGGCCGGCAGGCCGGCAGGCCGGCAGGCCGGCAGGGCGGCAGGCAGGCAGGTGCGTGCTCGTGTGCGAGTGAGTGCGCGTGTGCGGTGCGCGTGCGGGCGGAAGTGGGTGTGCAGGGGCGCGGGCGCGCGTGCTTGCTCGCGTAAAACCGAGTCCCTGCGTTCGGGCTTGGCGGCGTGCATGCACGCGTGCGTGCCTTCGCGCTTGCGTGCGCACACGCACAAGCACAGGCACACGCGGACGCGCACGCGCACGCATAAACAAACAAACAAGCAAGCAAACAAACAAACAAACAAAAGCAAGCAACAAAGAAACAAAAAGCCCAAGAACAAACGAAGCAACCAAGCGCACGCCGGCACGCAGGCACGCTTTCACGCACGCACGCACGCACGCCGGGCGGCGCAATGGACAAGTTGAGCGCGCGCGCCGTGGCAACAAAGAAGAGCCCCGACTTGCAGCGAGCAGCAAGTCTCCGCTGATTGGGCACGCTGTCCCGGGAGGGCAGGTTACACAAGTAGACATTCCGCTCGTCTTGCCCCTGGACGCATATGTGCCTGTCGGGCGTTCAAGCTCGTCTGAGACCGCTCATTGCTTGTTGGCACCCTTCTTTGCAAGGCCCTACGACTTGCCCACTTGGGGTTGAGCAAACGTCCTTTCCCTATTTTGCGAGTTTGGGAAAAACGGTCAGCTCCAGCTCGGACATCGAAGCTGTTCATAATTGTAGCCCGCTAGCTTACTGTGAAAATCGCGACTTTGGCTTGATGGGCAGCGGTGCATTTGTTCTTCAAGTTTGAGACTTAGGCATCAGCTCAGAGGAGTGTTCAGGTCGCTTTTGTCTAGGAAGCATGGTGAGCGATGGGCCGAACCGATGAGGAGGAAGATCCAACCCTGACTCCCAGCAATCACACATGTTCTATGTTTCGGGTCAGCCCATCCTGCTGGACATAGCTCACAGCTGGACGTGGACGTGTCATAGGCCTGCCGTGGGAACAGAAACACGCTTGGTTGCAGCTGCCCGTGCGACCCATGCTTGGCCCTGCATGTCTGGCTAAATGGCCATGGGGCATAACCTATGGCTCCATTTTGGGGTGGAATGTGTATCCATTTGCCACCTATTTTGATGTTCACCAGGGGGTTCCTGGGTTTTGACAACCACAGCCAAACGCCCCAAGCGCAGCATTTACCCCGAGCGCCGCAGCCACGCCTGGCCAAGAGGACACGTCCGCGGGTCTGGCAGCCACGTGCTCCAGATCTGGGCATTGGAGCGGAGCCAATCGCAGGCCACCTGAGGCAGCTCAGTCAGCTCCGTGAGCAGCTGGCCATGGGTCAAAACCCCGGATAGCCCCGGTGAACATCCCAATCCAGCCACTAAAATAAACGAAACTCCCAAACTGGTGCCATGGGTTTTGACCCATGGCCAGCGCAAGTGCGGCACTTCTGGATGTTTCCCCTTCACAAAACCCGGCCTTCTGGATCAGATTGCTCGTGTTGCTGACACCTCATGCCGAGTGACACATCCCTCTGATTCCATCAGCCCCCGGAAACCGGGGCTCAGCGGAAAGCCCACGAAAGTAGGCTCCAAAAAACGGGTGCTGAGAAGTCACCAACACCCCCAAAATGACTTGGATCCCCTTAACGGTTTCGACGGCGCAACACGCAGCCAAGGAGCCCAAGGCGTGGGCCTCGGCCACCTGGAGAAGGGAGTCAGCTGTCCGAACCTGGGGCCTTTGAAGTCGTCAACCGGTTGATGGTTGCCTGAGCAGGTTGAGCTGTACCAGGAGTTCTGACTTGTGGTTGAGCTATACCAGGAGCTATACCAGGAATCAGAACCAGGAGTAGTTCTGAGCCAAAAACCCGTAGACTACCCCTCCCAGCTCTTTTCACGCCACGCGGATCGCGAGGCTCCGAAAACTCGACGGCGATAAAACAGATTGCAGCCGAGTGTTGCGCAAGCGCAACCGCAACTGCTGACATCCCTGCCTGCGACAGCAAAACGTTGATGTGATCATTCTGCACTTGAGCAGTTTGTAGCAGAACCTGCGCAAATCAAGACAATTACACCAGCATAGCAGCGCTTGCACCAGCACCTCCAAAAGCACCCCCCCAAAGAACGCCCCAAGCAAAACCCGGCCATCAATCGAGCAAAAATGCGCCCGCACCATCACCCTAAAGAGCACCCCAAACAGCACCCCCCAAGACACCCAGTCGTCAATCTTGCGAAAATCAACCAGCACCCCAAACAGAATCCCCAACCACCACCTAAGCTGCGTGCCCCCTTGCACCCTACCGTCAAGATGCAAACATGCGCCTGCACCGTCACCAGAACCTCAAACAGATCCCCACAAACTGCGTCCCACAGCACCATCAGCACCAGCACCCCAAACTGCATTCCCCCCTGCGTCCTACCGTCAAGATGCAAACATGCTTGCGCACCGTGACCCCCCAAAACAACGCCTGCACAAGCACCCCAAACTGCATGCCCCCTAGCACCCTACCGTCTGAAAAGATGCGCCCGCACTGCCATCAGCACCTCAAACAGCACCCCAATCAGCACCTAGACCAGCACCCCAAACTGCACGTCCCCCTAGCACCAACCCAATCTCGCAAATCACTTTCCCCTCGTTATTAGAAGTTAGACATTGACATGTGACAACGCCAACGTGCCAAACAACATGTGCGAGACGACAACATGCGCCGAAGCAGCTGCCAGTCACGAAAGTAGAAAGCGCATTTCGGCCACTTGACATGGCAATGATGGCCTTGCAACGCATATGACTCCTTCTTCCATAGGCCCTTCACGGACATGCGCTACATCTCTCCATTCTGGCACGCCAGACCTTTGCATCCGACATTAGGTGTCAAAAAACGTGCGTGGCTAACAGCCCTCTCCGGAGCTCAGTGTACGGATCGCCGAAGACCAGGGATGGCAGCTATTGCCAACACTTAGACAACAAGACATGTGTATATATATATATATTAATACGTATGTGCATATTATGTGTATATATATATATACATATGAGGTATATATATATATATATATATATATCGGCTGACATGTTAGCGGCCTCGGAAGCAGCAAAGCTTGTGCACACTTTCATGGGCCACATAGTCAGCGGTCAAAGTTTTGAAGCTGGCACGCATGCATCCTGCGATCCTGCGGGGGGGCTTTGCAACGCAGCCGACCTGGGCGATGGGGCCGGTGAGCATTTACTGGGTGAGCCGGAGTTGAGAAAGTTGCACAGTTGCTCATGCTGCGAACCTATGCTTGTTGTTCAATCTCGTCTTTGAATCGCTTGCCCTGGGCCTTTGCCAGGGCTGAGCTGCTCACCATGTCCTTGCCTGTTTCGTGAAGGTCAGAAGGTCAAGCTTGCACATGCCAGCTGCTGGCTTTCACTGGCCCACATGTTAGCCGTGTACTGATTTACATAATTGCCACTCACATCTGCAAGACCTAAGTTGGCAGAGACGTGTCAGGCGTGGAGGGACGCGGCGGCCCTACTTTATATTTGTCAGAAGGAAACTCAGCAGGAGTGCAAACAAAACAAGCGCTTCTGCTTGGCGTATCTGCGGAAAGGCGCGCCAAGAAGCAAGCGCCTCGCTAGCCGAAAGATCCACATTGATCCACTTCTCCCGGGCCTGGAGCTGCTCGCTGGCCAAAAGCGCCGGCGAGTAGGCCAGCTTCTGCGAGAAGGATCCCGCCAAGCCCGGGCCCTCGGGTCAGCGGCGCATTGAAGAAAACTTGGAGCAGTTACATTTCTGCTGCAGAGCTGCTGTTATGAAGACCACAGCAGGATTCCGCGTCCGAAACATTGTATCCTTCAGGAGCGACAATGAACATGAGCGTGTCTATGTGTGCGATTGCGTGTGAAATGTGATGCAAGTGCCTGCACTATGTGTTGGTCCTGCTGTAAACGGGCAGATATGCAGGCTGAGGCTGCCACAGTGTCCCACCAGTGGAAGAGCGCGCGGTGCTGAAAGTTGGACACCAATTCCTACAGAAAGCTGCGGGCATGTTGGTATTCATATCATGTCTGGGCAAGCAAGCGCGCTTAGCCAGCTGTGCTCCAACAATAGCTGGCAAAATCTGATATTCTGGTTTGGACACGCAGTTTTCGCATGTTGCAAGAATTTCAACAATTCCTTCCAAGGTTCATAGTGGGCATTGTAGCCGACTGTCAGCTTCGCAACGAGCATGCCTGGCAGGGCTTCATCCCGTGATTTTCCAAACCAGGCCGTGCGCATGACAAGAGGAGCCGTGTAAATTCCCAACAACTATGTTCCGCCAAGAACCAAGATTGCGCTAAGACAGGTGAAGAAGGGGCCGCCGAGGGCGCTCAGATCTGAACTTTCGCATGTCCAGTCCAGTAAGCCACCAGCAAGGCTAGCTCAGCCCAGCGCGGACCATTCTAGCCAGCCGGGCGACCTGCCGCACACTGCCTTGGACAAGACTAACAGTTCAGTTTGGGCAAGCGAAGCAGCGCCAGCGCTGGCCTGGCCTGACAAGTGAGCCCAGTCCAGTCAAGTCCAGCAGCGAAGCCGCTCGGTGTCAAGCGCTGCAGCCCACAATTTTCCACCGTCGCCAGCCCAGTCCGGTGCTTGGGCCGTCGATAGGGCACAGACATGATCACCCAAAATCTTGCATCACAGAACCTGTTTCCACAACCTTTGGTTGTTGTCATTCTTGCTGTCGCGGTGGCTGGTGGTGCTAGAAAGCATTCTCGACCGATGGGCATCAGGCCAATGTAACTTGCGCGCCAAGCTGCCTTGCCTCCTTCAGCCCTTGACATCCACTGGTCCAACAGAGCCTGCCCATTGCAAGCTTCTTGCACGCAGCGCCACTGCGTCACTTGGCCCCATCCATGACTCACACCTATGACTCGCCACTGAACCAGCTCTGTTGCTTGCTTTCGAGGCATGCTGGGCTGGGCCGAGGCTGGCAACGCGAGGCGTTTACAATAAACACCTGCGGAAGAGGAAACCATCCTGGTGCTTTGCCAAAAGTTCCTGGCTTAACTATCGTTATGATCTTGATCCGGGCTGACACTGCACTGCTTCCTCCCCTTGCGGGACGCCTTGGCCCAAAAACGTATGGTTTTGCTGGGGGTCTGATGAGGCCAAATTGCCAGGCGGATCATCCTGGCTCCAGAAACACAGCTGCATGGATTGCTGTTCCCAGACCGCCTGTTCTGACAATTGCCGTCCAGAGACTCACTTTGGGGTAGCCTAGGCAGCAGTGTCAAGTCCATGCAAGCACTGTCTAGCTTGCCACGAAAACTGGCGAACCTCGTATGTCACCCGCAGGCTCTTGAGAGAGATGCGGAAAGAGACACATGCAAAGTACTCAATCTCTGACCCTGTAGAGTAATTGAGCACCGAAGCATCGCTCTGAACCAAGAAGCCCCAGTCGTCGTCAAGAAGAGGAACGCAAAGATCTAGCCATTGGTCACCCAATGCGGCACAGGCCGGAGTAATCCACCACGAATGCGTTGCACCTGTCGAACGAAGCCGCAAAGCCCAGCAAGTTGCCCGGTGTCGAAATAACTGGCTCAGCGATACTGCCAGCAAATTTACATACTCCTATATTTCTTCACTGAACAGGAGAGTGGGACTCCCGCCCCTGCCTTTCAAATTGTGCAACTTCAAAAGGTACGTGTGCATCCACTGCGCCGTTGCACAACCACCGAGCAACGAGGAGACTTGCGTTGAGCCCTCTTGGACCAAGACATGCAGCCAAGCTGCATATCCAGCCAGTGCCCGCAAGGTCGCCCATGCCATTCTGCACTTCGGGCACTTCACTGCTGCAGTTTGGAGTCTCACTTTCGGCCACCACCCCTGAGTCAGGCGGCTGCTGCTCGGAGGAACACTGTGCCGACTGCGCGTTTGGAGTCCTTTGGCATGCTTTGAATTGGCCATTTGACTCATATCAGGCAGCGTGTTCCTGTCGTTGGCATCCAAGCACGCTGCTATTCATCTGGCCATGGGTCAAAACCCCGTACCCCCAGCGAACATCCCTAAAATAGGTTCTAAAATGGGTGGTGAATTCACCTACCGAATTGGTTTTGACAACCACAGCCATCTCTTCGTACCAATGTGAAAAGCGCTGCAGGCTTGGCCCGCCCCTTCCCCGCCAAGTGTCCTCGTTGAATCAGCTGCCGCGGCGTGTCAAAATACTTCACGGCATCTGGTGTGGTGTATATTCGCCCGTGATCCTGCGAGCAGAGCCACGCCTATTTGGTTTCTCTGTAAAACAAGTTAAATCGGCTAGCCCTCAAACCACCACAGCTACCACATCTCCTGTCGCATGTAAGCACGCTGGAATCATGCGTCAAGCTGGGCCATTCCGGGTTGAAACTGCTCGGCGGCCATGCAGCAGTTAACCAATCCAAATGGTTGAGTGGTTGGTGTTTTCTTTACGTTTCCGCAGCCACCTCAACTGGCTGAGGCTGACAGGCACCACTGCCTCCAGCCATTTGCTGTAGATGAAGAATGTATGTATGCATGCGTGTCTGTATGTCGGTTCGTATGTAGATGTTCAGGTATCTATGTATCTGCGCATCTATGCACCTGTGTATCTATGTCTCTATGTTATTATTAACCTATGTATTGATTTGTCTATGTGTCTGCGTTTCTATGTCTCGATGTATCTGTGTCTGTATACCTATGTATCAATGACTGTATGTATGTGCGCACCTGCGTGTGTCTACGTCTATTGCAGCTACATATCTACATCCCTATGTGTTTGGGCATCAAGGTATCTATGCATCTGTGTGTGTCTGTCTCTGATCCTATGTGTCTATGTGTCTACGTATCCCTGTTGCATCTACGCAGCTGCGCGCCAATCTACTCCACCGCCAGTCTGATCTGCCCATAGGGCGACATGTCCTGCTTGAGCTTGCAATGCTGTGGCGGCCTTTCGGTCGGGTTCGCCAAGCTGCAAGTCTTTGCCGCTGGCAGTGATGTGTCGTCTTGTTCATAGTCGAGCTCAAACTCCCACGTCGCCCTCAAACTTGTTCTCAACCAGCAGCTACGCTTGCGCCAAGTGGTGTCTCGGTGTCTGCGGCTCGTAGCGTGGTTTGACCAGAATTCGCTGGTCCGCGGAAGCTCAGAGCCCGGTGTGGTTGCCGCGTTGCTCCTTTGGCTCTGCCTCTGCTGCTAGTGTGCTTGAGTGTCTCAGTCTATTAATTCTATGCTTGATTTGCAGCCCAAAGCGTAAGGCCGTCTTGCAGTCTAAGGCGGCGCTTTTTCCGTTGAAGCGTGGCAAGATCCTCTATGGCCATGGGGCAAAACCCAAAGCCGGGTTTTGACCCAGTGAACTTTCGGACCGATTCAATCCAACCACTAAAATAGGCTATCTAAAATGGGTGGTGAATTCACCTACCAACCAAAATGGGATCCAAAACGATTTTGACAACCACAGCCCTATGTCTGTGCACTTACCTGGATGCCGATTCGTTTCCAGCAGCTCCCTTTGACTTTTCGCCGGTCCAGCGCCAGCTGCTCAGCTGCCCAGGACTCTTCCAAGATTTCCCGGTGGACGTAGACGTTCGGCGTAGCGAGGAACCTTGAATGCACGGAATTGCATAGCGCTGGGCAACAAATGGGTATGGGTCCAAATTAAACCACCAGCATATGCACCGCAGGTTTTACTCCATGTTTCCATTTACCAGGGTTCCATTGGTCACAAATAGGTACCCAAAATGGAACCCTGGTAAGTGGCAACATGGACCAAAGACTGCGGTTCTGTGTTGGTTTAATTTTGACCCCCACCCAAATTTGCTGGCTCAGTGAGCAAATGCTGCTAAGTCACCCGGTGGTGCCAACGTTGGCCACGCGAATGTTGTTCCAGTTCAAATCTGGGAACAACTGCTTTCGAGTTTGCCAGACACTCCTTGGATGGCAAAACGTGGCAACAGAACCTGATTGGCTGACGCGACGTCCCAAGGAATTTGTGGAAATCGCCGCCCGCTGCTCCAGATTAAAGATTGCAAGAGAGCACACTTGAGCACACTGGTCAGAAGCTATGATTGACACTCCATTGTTTGCGGAGATTATGCAAATGACACACTGCTATACGCGCAGGGATGCAGAAAGAGAAGCCAGGACAGAGCAAATAGAGATGCCCGGGACAAAGGCAGAGCGGGCGAAAGCTCGAAAGCTCGATTCAATTTCCTTCCGTGCCAGATGGCTGTGTCCCATGACCCTCAAAAATCATGCGTCCCAAGTTCGTTCTATAAGTGTAAGAACCTTTACGGCCAAAGATATTTGGGGAAAAGCAGTAAGCTACAAATGCCTTTGACACAGCAGAAGAAACCAAAGTAGCGGCTAAGTAAAAGCAAAAAGCGAACGTGAAGCCAGCACAAAGCATGAATGGAGACAAAAATGATGGCAGCAGCAGCAGCTAGTCCAGTTGCAGTACCAGTAGAATGTGCTTTAGCAGATGGGAAATGCAGCAGCGCACCAAAAAATTCAACGGACCGGTCCAGCCCATAGACCGGTCCGTAGTTGCAATAGAAGTGCCCTCTGCTCATGACAGCGGTCACTTGATCTTTCGATTCAAAGCTTTCTGAAATGATTGAAGGTGTTTTTGCCTGCTGACTCAAAATGACCCACAGTGAGTGAGTCGTGTGAGTCGTGCAGCCCAGGCGCATTTCCATGTGCACCATGGCGTCAGGGAGGGGGTCTGCAAACCTGAAGCGGAGTGTTGCGTTCTTTTCAGACCTGGGAGATTCGTCAGGCTCTTTGAGGTCAGAACCCAGGTCCAAATGCCCATAATTAAAAAAAAAAAAAAACGTCCTCTACATGCCAAGGCGCAATTTCTCTCCTGCGCAATGACTGGGACAGTCTGTCTGTCTAAACGCGGCAGCTTACAGCGTGCAGACCATCTGTGCCAACCCTTCTATCCATGACAGTGCGCTCCCACATCATCAATCTGCTGAAGGATCAGATACGATTCTGCAATCCAGGTTCATGTCCGAAGATCATGCCCAATCACTCAATCAGTGGCTCCTCTGTTGAATGCATCCCGCGCGGATGAGGCATCCTCGATCATCTTTTTGCCTGGGGCACTTCCCATCCCTTCCCGTGAGCTTGGTGTGACATCTGAGAGCCTCAGTGGACAACTTCCCATCCCCGAGCTCCGCGCAGTCGCCATGCATCCATGAGGAACAACCCAGGACTGCAAACAATCCAGACGTTTCCTTAGCCACCGACCGAATTCGCCTGCCTATTTAGTCTGGAAAATGTGTCTGAAAAATCCGTGCCTGGCTGAACGGCAGCTCGCTGAGAGCTGCTACCACAATCGTTGGTAAGCAGTCATCTGCTACCACTTTTCCGAACTGCTCAATTGTGTCGCAACTTGGATCAAAGACACTTGAAAACTGAGAACTCTTCCGCTCTCCCCCAATCTTACATCCGCATCCGACATCCCACCAATACCCCCCCCCCCTCTGCACATGGGCGGTGAATTCACCTGCCAACCAAAACCACAGCGACGTCGTGCCGAGCGGCATCTTCAGCGTGGACATAGCTCACAGAAATCCCCAGCTTCTCGGAGGCTAAAATACCCACCAGCTGCGACACGATCGCTTGAGAATCCCAAAACTCCTGCCATCGGGGGAAAAAACAACATGCGGATGGATGCAACAAGAAAGAATCCAATGCGGGTGGGTAACAAAAAAACGCACATGGCACATGGCACACCAACATATGTGTGTGAAAGACGCTTGTTCCATTGTGAGAAGAAAAAAGAAAAGAAAAAAAAAAAACTCAACTGGCTGTGGGTCAAAGATAGGTACCCAAAATGGAACCCTGGTAAATCGAACCAAGGACTAAAACCTGCGGTCCCCTGGTGGTTGAAACTTTGACCCATACCCAACTGTTTATTTTTCCCAGATTCTGAGCTTTATCACTGCAAGGCATGGCTCCTCGCAGCGCGCGATGCGGCAGGGCGATTTGTACACGTTGCCGTCAGGCCTGGCATCCGACAAAACCTACGGACAACAAATGGTCCACAGTACCCAACAGACCTGCATTCGGCTTGTGTTGGATGTGTCAGTTGCTTGCCCTGCATGCAGTTGGCACCCACAAATCTCAACAAACCATTTGAGGTTCTAGTTTTTTTCCAGTAGGCATTGATAAGAGTCAATAGGGGCTGCTAGAAAAGCTTGAACCCCTTCTAGCCCTTTGGGGCTCTAGTTTTTCTGGTGGGCCTTGATACCCGCAGTCAGCTTGTGTTGGATGTGTCAGTTGCTTGCCCTGCATCTCAACAAAGCATTTGAGGCTCTAGTTTTTTTTTCCAGTAGGCATTGATAAGAGTCAATAGGGGCTGCTAGAAAAGCTTGAACCCCTTCTAGCCCTTTGGGGCTCTAGTTTTTCTAGTGGGCCTTGATACCCGCAGTCAGCTTGTTTTGGATGTGTCAGTTGCTTGCCCTGCATGCAGTTGGCACCCACAAATCTCAACAAAGCATTTGAGGTTCTAGTTTTTTCCAGTAGGCATTGATAAGAGTCAATAGGGGCTGCTAGAAAAGCTTGAACCCCTTCTAGCCCTTTTTGGCTCTAGTTTTTCTGGTGGGCCTTGATACCCGCAGTCAGCTTGTTTTGGATGTGTCAGTTTGTTGCCCTGCAACAAGAGGAAAAGGCTTGTCCGCCAAAATGACATGACCTTTGACAGGGTCAGCACAAAGATGCTTGCCTGCATCTTGTCTTTCCCATAAAGCAACCAATGTGTCTGTGCAGACATGACTTCAAAGACTCAAATCTGCGAATGCAAGTGAGCCTGCCAAAGCGCTACAAGCAGCAAGAACATGCTCACTGAGTCGGTTTGCCACTCAAGCCGAACTTTTGCGCTCGGCTCAGAATTCATGATCCAACAAAATAAAGCAGGTAGCTCAGCAGAGTCACAATCAAAACTCGGCAGTAAAATGGTTGACCCAGAACCATGTGAGGAAATACAAAGGCGGCCGCAACTATGTATGGCTGGGATTGTCCCTAACCTTCATCTACCCGGGTTTTGAGCAAGTGGCTCAGCTGTCCAAAACAGACCAGACATTGGGTTGTAGCCTCAAGCCCAGAAGCCCTCCATGCGAGCGAGCCAAACCATTGGGTGGTAGCCTCTTCCCAGACGCCCCACGCGCGCGGACTCGCGCCCCTCCAGGGTGAGCTCGCTGCGCTTCACCGCATCCTCCAAGCAGACCTCGCAGGAGTCGTAGGTGCACGAGGTGGCTGACGCGGTCCTCAGATCAACGTGCCGCACAAAAGCTGTTTCGACCTGACGGAGCCGATCTGCCAAAATGTCAAGTCGTGTCAGCTCCGCAAGCATCAAGCAGCTGCACTTGTTCAACCCGGCACGAGGCTGCAGGCAACTTGGCAACAATCCTGAACAGCATGTCAAAGCGTAAACTTCGTGCTGATGTGTCCAGAAAAACTACCTGCACTCATGAGGGCTTTGTTCTGGCCAGGTCATCAATACAGCCAGGCGGCAGGAAAAAAGTCCAAAGAAGATCACCTGACCGAATCGAAGGCGCTCTTCGGTCTCGGGTCAGGTCTTGAAGCCATTTGACCTAAAAGCTTGCTGATAAGACTCCTCCCGGAGAGTAGAGCTAAAACGTCCCGGATGAAAGTTCAATTCAACTGAAGCTGCACAAGCCTTGCTAGCCATGGTTCTCACAACACTCTCTCAATTGCGCCTCGAGCCATCGATTGCTTGTATGGGCTCGCAGCCTCCACCTCTTTCAGAGACGGGGTGCGACAAGCGATGTGGTCTCGATGTGTTACAATGCACAAGCCGGACAGCTGCTGACTTGGATTGTACCGAGTCTCATGCTATGGGCGGCATATTCTTTTTTAGAACTTTGAATGATGTTTGTTTGTGTGTGTGTGCATGTCTTGATTTCCTTGAACGTCTTGAAAGTAATCTGCCGCCCACCGAACGCCAGCATCAGAGGATGCGCACTCTGAACCAGCGCTGCAGGGCATCTGGAGCGTCACAAGCAGCTCATCTCATTGACATTGAAATGTAGCAGCTGATTGTCTGCAACATTCTGCTCGTGTCGCAGAACAGCCACGGACTGAACTGCCAAATGCCAATCTCAGCAGTGCAAGACAGCAAAAATACAAAACTTGGCAGTGTACTGGCCATGAAAACTCTGCTTGGGCAAAAGATTGCATTGTTGTGAAAGTTTTCAGCAAGTGCCTGCCTATCTGCAAATGTGTCCAAATGAATGCAGTGCATGAGGCCATCTGCATTCAATGCACAGCACCTCCACCAGCCTCTCCTCAACCAGCGTCACCCGCACCTCCAAAAAAACGAGATAGTCTCGCACAGATGTCACAGAAGACTTCTATCCCAGCATGACACGCGCAAAGAGGCTTCCCCAAAATGCAATTGGAGACAAAAAGGATTCGCCTCCGTGCATGATCAAAGAAGCTCTAGTTGTGGTGCTGGGAGCCGTCGGATTCGCGTGATGATGATTAAAAAAGAAGAAGACAAAATCTTTGCAACACACCTCAGCAAACTCAGATTGCGCGACACCTCCTCAAGCAGCTCCTGGATCTGAAGATTCACCACCTGCCAATAGTATCCAAAGCCATGCCTGGAAAGAAACTAAAAATCGACCGCAAGCTCGCGATCAAGTGGCAAGTCCAATGTCCGTTGCGTGTAGATGGGGAGCTGTCGGAATGAAGGCGCCAGCAAATCTTGACGCATCGAAGCGGCTGTCTAACAGCCACAAATCGAACGCTTGGCCGCCTTCATGTTGCGACACGTTGGGTCGCAAAAACTCGCGAGATGGTCGCCACAGAGACCGACATCGGACCGAACGACCCAGCGTCACACACCCTGGCCCCATGGTGACAGAAGAAATGAAAAGACAAACCCGCCTTTGCAAACCCGGACTGCGTGTGATTGTTGGCGCCAAAATACAAACGCGAGACCGGAGTGCGACTACACATGGTGTGAAGAGAAATCATAAGAACATCCGCAAGCCCGGTCCACGTGCGATTGTTTCTCTGGCAAGAAACCCTGAAAACTATAGAAACCATGGAAACCTGCAAACAATGGAAACCATAGAGATCGTGGAAATCCTGGAATCAGTCGAAACCTTGGAAACCATAACAATTCTGGAAACCATAGAAACCATGGAAACCTGGAAGCAAACAAATACACATGCAATGGAAACCCTAGAAAAAGCCATGGACAAAGCGGGGAGATCGCAGGAAGGTCCGTGTTGAGAAGCGATTAGCCCCCCAGGAATCGAACCGCAGGTTTTGGTCCATGTTTCCATTTACCAGCATTCTGTGCTGGGTACGCATTGACCCACACCCAAATCGATCAGGAAAGGGCGGTGTAAAACGATCCCTTTCCTGGTTGCTTCCTTCCTTCCTTCCTTCCTTCCTTGCTTCCTTCCTTCCTTCCTTCCTTCCTTCCTTCCTTCCTTCCTTCCTTCCTTCCTTCCTTCCTTCCTTCCTTCCTTCCTTCCTTCCTTCCTTCCTTCCTTCCTTCCTTCCTTCCTTCCTTCCTTCCTTCCTTCCTTCCTTCCTTCCTTCCTTCCTTCCTTCCTTCCTTCCTTCCTTCCTTCCTTCCTTCCTTCCTTCCTTCCGTCTTTGTCTTTTTTTTCTGTTCTGCTATGTTATCCTATGTCTCTTATTTGATCTTATTGTCGATGCTTTCTGTTGTTCTGCTAATATAATTATTTAAGTATTTCATGTACTTTTCTGTTTGTCTCTTCTCATCTCTTGTCTGTTATGTTCCTACATGTATCCTTGTTTCTTTCTGTCTTTGTTCCGTCGTTGCTCTGCTTGCTTGATTTGTGTTTGCGCCTGCGCTTTGTTGAGTGGTTCGTTCGTTGGTTGCCTTACCGGCGTTTGCCTCGGTCGCTTCTCAATGCCAACGGCCACGCAGACTTGCATCGGGTCGCGCTGAGCTTTGGCAAAGGCGGGTGGCAAAGGCGAAGCGACAGCTTGACAAGCTGGAAATGGGCGGGAGTTGCAAGAGTTGGTTGAGCAAGATCGTGGGGTGAGGGAGTTTCACTGAAATGGGGTTCTGCAGTTTTGGTGCTGTACCATTCAGGCCATACAGGTGTCGTCGTACGCCTGGGGGCGTTCGAAGCTTCGCAGACCAAGGTGCCACCTGCTTGGCCGTGACCAGTGACTCAGAGCGCCGTTGTGAGTGAGTAAGTTGTGCCTGCGCTTCGTTGAGTGCTTCATTGGTTGCTGGCTGAATGCGCAAATTTGGTGGTCACATCTTGGACTCTTGAATGAACATGGGCAGACGAAATAGCTAAAGCATCCCAGCATCTGCCGAGCGACTTCGCAAATGCGCCCCAACGTCATGCTGCTCTTCTTTGCATGGCAGGAATTGGGTCAACTGACGCCTGCGGCAAATCAACATTGGATGGGCGCAAAGGGGGAAAAAAACAAAAAACGAAAAGTCGGCCACGCCTTGGGCACCTCCACCGGCACTGGAATCACTTGAACTTTCGGCACCTAGAGTTCGGCAAAGGCAAACCCTTGGACAGCGAAGTCTCGCAAGGCCCGGCCAGTCTGCTCACCAAATCGAGTCTGAACCTGCCCTAAACTTGCCTTGCTCTTTGCTTGTTGCCCCCCCATGATTAAAATCATTCCGGGGTTCCTTGCAAGATTCATCTGGGGATCATTCCATGCCGGACTTGGTCCCTCCTTGGGAGAACTTTTCGGCTCACCTCCGTGATGAGCTCCACGGTGGCCAGCTCCGGAACCTCCATGGCCACCTCTTCGGTGAGCACCTCCACTCGCTCGCCGCGCTCTCGTTCCGCGTTTCGGGGGTTTCATGGCCTTCACGAGTTGATGGGTCAAAACGAAACCAGGAATTGGACCCAAAAGGCTGGCCTTGGCAAGCCATTTCCCGGGGCAAGCCATTTGGGGGTTGCCCCATTTTTGACCAGCCAGCTCAAACTAAAAGCAGGGATCCGGACAATCATTCCAGCGGACCATCTTTACAACAAGGAGTCGACGAAAAGGTTTGAGGTGGGTTGCAGCTGGGGGGGCCAACAGGTGCATGTTGGAAAGGTTTGAAAAGCGGGGGGGCTTGGCTCAACCCACGCTGCAACCGGACATGAGTGCCATGCAAACAACATGGCCATTAATACATTGCTGACAAGGAATAACCATACCTTCCGCAACAGGGTTGTCATTGCAGGATTTTGCCTAGCCGCCCAACTATATTCTAGGCGTCACGGCTGATGTTGGTCACAGCGCAACTGACGAGGTTAACGCATGCACCAAGTCCGGCCAGAGCACCGAGGGAACTTCCACCACCTTCTCCGTCACTTGCAAGGTGTGCTTTGGCACCTGCAATACTGGCTCACCGTCAACATCAAGGCTTCGCCCATGCGCGATGGATGATTGGAAGGACTTCCTCACACACGTGACTCATGTGACCAAGGATGATCCTGCTTCCCAAAGACAACGCGGAGTGCCTTCTTGTCAACCACCTGCACCTGGCAGGGAATGGCTCCCCAAGCCCTGTCTAAAGTGATTCTCTGTGGCTGCTGGTCGCACTCCCTCTTTACATGTTGTTTTTTTGTCCCGAAGCGTACTTTCCTGCAGTATACTGTGTCCAAATACCTCAGCCTTGTCGGTCTGCAGTCAGCCAACGAATAACCCTTGCAGAGCTTACCCCCCAGCAGGAGCAGCGCCAGCCCGGCGGACCTTCCCTTCCCCTTCCCCTCCCTCCTCCACCAAATTGACAGGGCACACGGCTGACGGGGACGTGGCGGATAATCTCTCGGCGCTCCACCTGGCATTCTGGGTTGCAAGAGCGAACCTTCGTACCGAGCTTCCGTGTTTTTTAGTATGGCAGTATGAACAAGTTGCGGGCTGAAAGGAAAACATGGAAAGTACGACAATGTGGCCATGGGTCAAAATCCCGTACCCCCAGTGAACATCCCAATCCCCACTAAAAAAGCTAAAATGGCTGCCATTTTTTGGGCATGGTGTGCTGGGTGTCCAAAACCCTGTAATTGTCCAGTGTTTTTGGGGCTTGCGTGCAAAAATATGCGTTTCGCCTAGGTCTCTAGGGGGGGGGGGGGTTCTCCCGGACGCACAGGATCTGCATCCCCAGCATCATCAGGAGCCATGAATTTGTATCTTTTCTTGCAGATACTAATGGTGTTTTGCTGTTTCAAGCGATGTTGGAATCGGCCTGTTAGGGGTCTGGATGCAGCCAAGTACAGTCATACGTTGAGGAACTGTTTGAATTTCCAAAAATGAGTGTTTTTTGCAATTCCCCAACTGTACGGAGCAGCTACTGCGAAACATCCCCTGCATTATCTTGTTTTTGGAAGTCTTTTTTAGGGGTATTTGAGGGGCGTTGCTAGTATCTGCTTTTGATGGTTGATTGTGGGAAATATCAAACCAGCCTGGTTTTTGGACTTTTTTGTGGCCAGCTGGCTGCATTCCCAGCATTCCCGACATCTCTGATATTTTCTGTGTTTGGTCAATTTTGCGTGTCTGAAAGTCTTGAAATTTTGGATGCGAAGATTGGGTCTGTTCCTGTACGTTGTGTGGTTGCATCTCTTGCATGTCCAGCATCATCAGCATCACTTCCATCAAAACATGAAAGAGGTCTTAAAATCCCTTGCACCCCACTGGCGTCGGCGTGTCGCCTTTGCACCCCATGGGACATTGTGCATTCACAGCCTGCGGCACTTCGATGATGCGCTCTTCATAGACGACGTGCGGCACCTAGCAGAGCCACTCATGTTCTCAGCGCGCGTGGCTCCCAGAGATTCAAGTCTTTGAAACCAACGGCGAGGAGTCCGGCAATGCATCCCTTCAAGCTCGAGCACCAGGGACAAACAGGCAACAGAAGCTTTACAAGGACAATCAAATATATGCTGCATGGCCTGACCAGCAAAGTTTCAGCTGCAAAACGCGGTTGACACGCAGCACAAGCCAAGGCTTCTGAGCCAATCGGCCTCAGCAAAATCCAGCATCACTGGCAGTAGCCTTTTCTTTAATGTTCGCAAGGCTTCACTAAGCCGGAAACGCCAACAACGCTAAAACATGCTCCACGAAGGAAGTGCTGCAAGGGTCGACGAGTTCAGTCCGCAAGCCACAGTCTAACTGGCCTCCACTAACTTTTCGATGTACTCAACCTGATGTGTGATGACCTCCTTGTCCACGTAGCGAATCTCATACTTCGGGACCTGGCGGAAGCCAGAGCCGCTCAAACCGCACGCATTTTCCGACTTGGCCGTGGCTCAAAACCAACGGGTTTTGAACCCATTTAATGGGGTTTTCGGTGAATTCACCACCCAGGTTAGAACCTATTTTAGCGGGGATTGGGTCCCGTTCACGGGGACGGGCTTTGGCTTTTGACCCACAGATGTCCATTCGGCGCCCTCAAAAATAATTTTCCGCCTGCCGGATCACCTCGCAAATCTCCACCTCCGGCACCTCGACCTCAAAAAGGAATCCCAGGGGCCAAAACATTCCACACCTTGGGTGCTCCAAATGAAACAGCTGGGCTTGCACAAATTAAACAGCTGGGCTACACAGGTGGTTGTCTACTTTTCCATTTCCCAGGGCAACCAATTTTGGACTCCTATGTTTGAGCCACCCGCCACGAGCCCGGCGAAACGCCCCCATGGTCGCTTTTGCCGGATCAACGCCCAGCCGTGACCAAGACGCGGGATTCTCCGCCACCTCGCTCTGCGGCACCTCCACTATCTTCTCCTCAAAGGAAGTGTCAAGCTGAACCCTCAAAATTCCCTTAAAAATGGGTTTGACCCCCAAAATTATGGGGTGATATCCCATTTTTATGGGTAGTTTGAGCAAGCAGTAGCTTTCCCACAAGCAAACTCTCCTTCATTTCACCGCGCGCGCCAGCATTTTTCAATCCACATACCAAGACCCATATAAACGCTTAAACATGTTTCCAAATATCAATCCACTCACCAAATGTTTTAAGTTATTCATTTTTGATAAATAACTTAAACCAACTCAATTTTCCTTAACCTCATTCTTTTTTAAATTTTCCTCGTGCCTGTAAGTTAATTCGTGTCTCGCTCTACCCATTTTCCTAATATCACAATTACACACATCATAATGATAATTAACCTTGCTCTTCCTTTTTCTTTTCTCACGGCATCTTTCACAATTTTTATAATTTCCTATGAAACAATCCACATTCCTTTTACTCTGACAACCTGAACAATATTTCTTTTCCATAACCTCTATTTTGTAATACCCACATCCCTTTAAATAGTTTTAGACACAAATAATATTTTTGCTCTGGGGTAAGACCCTCATAGAAAAACCACCAAACAACAAACCACACAAAAAACCAAACAACAAACAATATAAGAGACGATTACAAATTTATTGAATAAATCAAATAGTTTTATCTTATTAGTCTAAAACTATATTTTTAACATCTCATGCCTCAACAAAGACTTATTAAAATCACTAACAGAATAATATGTTTGTCCTAATTTAGTTTCTATTTTGGTTATTGTATGAGTTGTTTTAGTCCAGTGTGAGGTTTGTTGCTTTTCAGTTATTCCTTTTTTCCTTCTGATTTTAACTTTGTCTCCAACATCTAAATCTGGATATGTGCGGGAATGTCTTGCTTTCATTGATATATTTAGTTTTACTTCAAATTCATTCTTTTTTAGTTTTGCTTGTGCTGGTGTAAAACCAGTGCTTGTGTGCTTCAATTTATTATTGTATGTTAATAAAATTTCAAAAATGTAGTCTCGCCAATCAATATCTTGTTTGTCTTTCTTTTCATCTGCTTCAACTCTGTTATACAGCATTCTTTTGAACGTTTTAATTGCTACTTCACTGAACGCTGCGTGGTTTCTTGTTGTGTAGTGTTCTATACCTTTCTCTTTTAGATAATCTTGTATAGATTTTGTATTTAATGCGCTTTCATCATCTGTAAATAATAATTTACAAAATCCGCCCATCTTTTTAAATCCTTCAACCAGTGCATCACCTTCACTTTTGCTTTGAATAGGTATTACAGTCATTGCCTTACTGAAAATATCTATCATTAAAGCACCAACCTTCATTTTCTGATTAGGAATATCATTGATAAAGAATAAATCAAATTGGAATTCGTGAAATGCATTTGGCGGTATATATGAATTCTGCCCTCTTGGTTTTGTTTTGATTTCTATATTTTTATTGAAAAAATCGTCTATATCAGCCTTGGTTATTGACTTATCTTTTTCTCTACTTTCTTGAAGTGTGCGCCGTTTAGACCCATAACCGCTTTTATCATAATAAATATCACTAATTATTTTTGTTTATCCATATAATAAATTAAGATTTATTATATTGATAATCTTATTTATAATTTAAATTCAGGATAAGTTAATTGATGATTATTAGATTGTGTATATATCTCACGTCTTTCATACATAATTTTAATAATAATATTGATATCTCTCACGGTATTTTTCACATTAAACTTTTTGCTTTCATAGTTAATAATATTATTGATTATGCTTTGGGTACAGAAGATGAATGTAAATTTTGTCAGGGATGGAGAGATAATCAAGAATTAATCAGATATCATTTAAATCTGGAAAGAAAAAGTAATAGAAATATTGGAGATGAAATTTGAGATTGTTAACTGTGTATGAAAGACCACGTTATAGTTATGTTAGAATATTTCTCAAAATCGGTAAGAAAAAGTATGAAATGATTAACCACAATTATAGATGTTGTTGCATCGTAGGAGAGACGGGTCTGATTTAAAAGGAGACATTAAAACATATATTTCCATTAGGTAACTTCATTTTGTATACTTCCATATGTTCTTTTTTGAAGTGGCAACAGTCATAGCATTTCTTATTGATATAATTATTTACTTCTTGTTCCTTCATTACTCTCTACTATATATAGGTATTATTTCTTTAAACCTTTTTTAGTCTAAAACTAAGATTTTAATATAAAAAATATTAAAATCTTAATTAATCCACTTGTTGTTGTTCTTGTTGTTTTAACCATTCTTGATGTTTCTTAGTTTTTTCGTGTCTCCCTTTCTCATGTGGTTGAAAAGAAGAACCGCACAAACATGATATTGGCTCTGGTTTTGTCTGTGTAGATTCTATTTGTAGTCGGTCGCAATGCCCCTTTGTTTTTAGATGTTGGGATTTATGGCTCTTGCTGATTTGAACACCGCATTCACACAATACTTTTTCGGCTTTTCGTTGATGAACTTTGTCTTTATCATTTTCATGATGGTCTTTGAATTGTTGTAATAATTTGCCCCTATTGTCATTATACCATTCTTGTGGTGAGCGTGTTGGAATATGCTTATTCACGCAATCAATTGTCTTGATATGATGGCCTTCTCTTGCTACTAACTCTTCTTTGCTATTACATGGGTAATGTTCTATTAATTCTATCTTACAGTTGTCTATACCAACCTCATCAAACATAAAGAATGATGTTAAGCGGTCGTTTCTGCCTAATAGATATTGTTTGTAATTGTTTCTATGCCTTGCCATTCTTTGACTTAGACTTTCACATGTAGAACCAATATAACATTTATTGTATCCTATATCAACTATCTTGTAGATTTTACCATTTTCATATTTATTATCCATCCCTATTTATCTTAATGTATCCTTTCTTAAAACCTTTTTAATGTGCTGATACATTACAATAGACGCAGTAGGCAATAGAGTTGTCCGCTTCATGTGGGCGAAAATTACATAACCTCTGTGCTGTAAAATTACTACATAATTTACCTTGCTTTGTTTCAAAATTAAGCGGACTACTACACTTTTGGCATCTGGTGCGAAACTGTTGTAAGCACTATTCGGCAGTTATGTATTCTTCTTCATTTATTTCCCGGTGAGCGCGACGGTCTTGTATCTTATAATTGTCTACTTTGTTTTTAAAGTATCTCATTATCATATTGTTATCCCTTTGTTTATCAAAGTCATCATTCTTGAAAAATCTGACTTTTCTGAAATCAACGCACCTTGTAATTGCCGTCCATAAAAACTCTCTAGATACAAATGGTAAATTCCATTCATGAATTGTCATGCTCTCTCTTACACTTGCTCCCTGTGATGAGTGAGTAGTGGCACAGTATGAATATATAAAGTTAGCATCAACCACAGGTTCAAATAACATAAATTCATCTTCTTCATTTGCTATGTTGTGTAATGTTTTTTGTTTTCCTAATTCATCATCTTCTATATTTGTAATCCTGTATCTTAAATTGACATTTACCCTTGGTTGTTTAATCCATTTTCTGGCAATTAACATATCACCCACTACATATTTCTCACTTATGTCTAATCTGTCCCGGATTTCATTGGAGACAGACCGACACCTTAAATTAGTATAAGCAATGCTATGCTCTGATGCCAATATATCATCAGTGATTTCAAAATATTTGGGTATGATGTCATTTATTGGCAATGTATTTTCCCAAAAGTCAGCATACATATCATTAATTATTGCTCTGTTTCTTTCTCCTTCTTCACTATCTTTTGCACCTACTCTTTTACAAATTGTTAAGAAGATGTTGTATTTAAAGATTGTATCCAAATAATTATCCATGTATGTCGCCGGGTCTTGGCAGTTGGTCATTACTTCCACTCCTTGTAATTGCTTAACATCGCCCGTAGCAACTACGATTTTATCCGGATTATTCTGAATAAATAACCGTACTTTATTCAACACATATAAATTTGACATATATATTTCGTCAAACACTATTACATCAAAAGGCGAATAATCATAAAATTGTAATTTCTCTCCGACATCTTCATGAAAGACAATGCTAAAAAATTTGTTATATGTTGTTGCTTCTACTTCTTTCTCTTGTAAAAGTCTATTTGTTGGAACAACGAACAGAACATTATAATTCATTGTTTGGAAATATTCGCCTATATAACTCTTACCTGTGCCCGGCACTTTCCCTTTCACAAGGCATGGATTTTGTTTAATAACTTTTGTACAAATGCTTTCAGTATTCCATTCATCTTCAATAGAAATAATCTTCGGTATTTCAGGTAATTCATTAAACTTATACTTATATGGTTGTGTCGGTAATGTTATAGTGTGCTTCTCTTCAAGTCTCCAGTCGCCTATCTCATCGCCAAATTTCAGCAGTCCTTCCTGCCATTTTCTTAAATAAGTATATCCATAAACTTTATCCAAATCGTCTTTGTGGATAGTAAAACTGTCCGTTTTAACACTATACACTTTAACATTATTATCAGTTAATGTTTTATATGTTTCATACATTTTGAAATTATGGTATTGTAAAAGCAGTTCTTTAATATACATAAATCCAGTAGTCAATACTTTTTTATCTGACACATTCAATACATAATATGTCATGCCTGCTGTATCCTTTACTCTCATTTCATCATCTTCTAATTCTTCTAATTCTGTTTGGTACTGACCGATTGTATAGATTTTACTGTTTGGATTTAACTTTTGATAATAACACGCCTCCCTCAATGAGTTAAATGTGCTACTTTTCTGTGATGTGTTATGCGATTTTTCCAGCATACCGATGCTTATGTTTGCTACTGTCTTTTGTAGTTGCTTATTTAAATCTTCATTGCTTGATATTTTTGTAGAATAGAGTTCATCAATTATTTTCTTGTAATTAACTTAATATCACGCTGTTTGTAATATAATATCTTCAACTTAATATCACGCTTTAACAACTGCTTTAAAAACTTACCGTAAATCAG